TATCCCATCTCCGTCTTTCGTTTTAGAGGCGTCTGAGTAGATTACTATAGAGTTATCCTCTATTATTTGGATATAATCTTTATGCGCGGCTGCCTCTTCTTCTTTTGATTTCTTTGATATAGTGGGGATGGTGGAAGAAGCGGTAGGACAACGCAACACCGCATTCGTTCCGGATAGTCGAGTTTCCGGATCGCACATCATGCCAATTGCGCATAGTATTCGATCTCGGCCCCCAAAATTTTTCCTTGAAAGAAAAAAACGTGCCTTGCCGTCACCCTCTCAACAAAGAGTAGACCTGACAGTAATTGTGGACACCGCTTCGGTAGCTAGTCCATCCGATTGCGCGATGTGACACTATACAGCAAACGGGCAGAACACGGGCATGGTAGATAACAGCGCTTCCTTCGGTGTTTATTTTTTGTTGGATTGACCCTAAAAAACCTGATCGCAGAGTACAGTAGTTGTGTAATCTGCACGAAGGATTCCTACACCTAGATAACGGTCTGCACGGCTTGCGTTCCCGTCGTATGCATGCATAAAATCCTTGTGCGTATCGAATCGTACGTTAAGCTAGCCCAATGCCCGTTCAGACCGCATACGCGGTATCAGAAAGCAATATATTGTTAGAAACACCGACATAATCGCTTTCTTCCCGCCTTGCACAATCAAGCATTTCCCCCCAAGGCCCCAGGCAGCAGCAGGCGGGGGTGGTGGGCATAGCGGTCTGGAAAAAAAGCAAAAACAGCAAATGGTAAAGGGATAAGGGAAAGGGAAAGGGAAAGGGAAAGGGGATTTCAGTCAGCAAACTGGCGCGCGGCGATTATTTTTTAATGGGGCACGCCAACAGGGTTCCCGGGTTCTGGGGTTTGTATTCTTAGGGCGAGTTTTTGTGTTTTATCTTGCCGTCCAACGAGTGGTTTGGAAGGAAATCACGTTGGCGGTGACTACACTACACCTGCGTTTGCCAATTTATCGATTTCTCACCGGCGCCATGCAGGTCCTTTGATACAACGTTTGCTAGGGGGAGAGTTGTTGGGTTCAACCACCGAGCGAGCGAGCGGGCGAGGAGGGGGGGTTGCAACACATGTACGCCAAGTGTGCTATGGTACGATTAATTATTTGCTATGACGCGCATATGTCTAATTTGACGGCGGCGGCCTTGGAGAGAGTTGTGGTAATTTGAAGGGTGTGTGCTGGTGCTGCGCAGTGGGTGCTGCTGTTCCACAACGTATCACTAGTTTGCGATAGCGATGTTAGGCGTCACTATGAATGACCTACTGGTTGACGGGCGCCCTTACACATGCATGACACGCCGTCGCGCGCGCACCCCTTTTGTATCGTCTTTTGTGACGTATCAGATTGTCGTCTGCCGAGGGGGTGGGACGAGTGGATTGAATGGGGGCCTTGTCAGATTAGGAAAACCATAAAAAACAAACACCAGGAATTTTGCTGGTACACTAATCAGTGCGCTGAAACGGCCATGTTAGGGATATGCCCATCTCCCTATTGTCGTCTCTGTCTCTCTTCAGGTCCTGTAATGTAATAATCAGATGCACAACAAACGCCACATTTTCACCCGCTTTTAAAAAAAGCCACAGACGCAGTCCCTGATGAAACAGGTACAGGGTCGGGGTAAGGTGAGCAAAGAAAAAACAAAACAGTAAAGTCGGTACTTTGAACACAGAAGCAATTCAGAAGCGCAAATCCGGCACGATACCGACCGATGCCGTGTAGTTCTGAAAAAAAAAACAAAAAAAAACAAGAAGAATCCTCCTGCCGCATCGTATGCCGCATGAAGCAAAACAGGGAAAACTAAAAAGCAAGCCATCCACAATCCCGCTTCCGAAAAAGCAAAAAGGAACAACAAAAGAAAAAACTGTCCGGTTGAAACGGCCCACCCACCACCACAAAACAACCCCATCACACACATGCACTCTGCACTCATCCCACAATCAACCCCCCCTGTTACTGCCCTCGGAACCCTGTCCGTGTGGCCCACCTTACCAGCTTCCCCCCCTGTCCCCCCCCCACGCTACCACCAGCCATCCTAACCCCAATAACCTTACCCCATTCACGACCCGACTCATCCGTGTTTCGACTAGCGGATTCGTATTTGCATGTGTGTGCGCGAGAGAGCAGCTGTTGCACGCCTTGTTCACGAGCTGAACACACAAACACAAACAAAAAAACAGGGTAAAGCGTCAACGTCTTTTATCTTTTTTGCTGTTATCTCGGCGTCTTCAAGACTAAGGATACGAACGGTAGGGCGCTAATGGGGGGGGGGGGATACGGCCGATAGTACGGGCTGGCTTGCTGGCTAGCTAGCTGAACGGACAAAACACTCGACAAAGGGGGGGGGGGGAAACACCGCGGTTGAGTGGGTTGGGTGTTCTTTTGCCAATAGCGTCTGTAAGCTTTAGTTTGGCATGTTTGCGGCGCAAACAGCTTAGGATGTATGTGTACCACATGTAGATGGTGTTTGTTTGACTATACGGCAAAAGCTACATTGAGAGGCTGAAAAGCTATCTCGGCTTTAGGAAAAAAGGGTATAGAGTGCGAAATCGGGGGTAGGAAAGGGACGGCGGGCGTGCGCGAAAGGAAGCGCGCGAACGCCATACATTGGCCCAAAAGGTTTCGCGAACAAGACAAAAACGCCACACCGCTGTGTTTAATTTCGAGACGTTCTCGCAAAAGAAGATGATTTGAGATTCTTGGGTGGATTTGGCAAGCGCGTGGCTCGGGAGGGGCGGACGGGGATGAGCGAAAGGATTTGGGGCGGGTGGGGGGGGTGTGCATGTGTTTGTGTGTGGCTAAGGAAAAATAGAGTGTGCAGAGTGGGTTACTACAGCGAGATAATGCACATAGGGAGCGGAAGAGAAGGAGCGAGGCTTTGGTAAGTAGCAAGGACACGGGCTGTACTAGCCATGTGCTGCCCTTGCGATACGGTGGGGAATGCGGTGGAGGCAGTGGATGCGAGCGGAAGGGCTAACATGCTGGATTTGGATGGTTTATCGGTTTCGCACTCGGAAGAGGACATGTTGGCGAGGGTGCATGCGCAATTGGGCGAATCAAGGATACGTACATTGGCTGGATTGAGAAGACGCACGAGCGAGCAAGGTGCGCGCTTTTGGTATGAGTCCCGAAGTGTCCTTCTAGACGTGGCATGGAAGCCCTTTTTCTTGCCACCAGAGAACATGACGAAGCTGGGAGAATCTTTGCTGATTTCGTAAATTTTTGGGTGTGGCGTTCACAATTGTCCACAGCCTTTGCAGAATCTACAATGCAATGCCGGTACTTCAGACGAGCCGAGGTGGATCATTCGATTATGCAAGGCCACCAACGTAAGCCTGTTGCCAGCAGCAATCCCGTGTCAGACGGCATGTGTGAGAAGACAACATCAACAATAAGGAACGACAAAGGTCCGTGAAAGGGCCGCAAGGAGTATCAGCGTAAGATTTGTGGGGTTTGGTGGATGAACATGGATTAAAATGTAATTCTACAACTCAGTTTTTGGGCTTACCTCGTTTGTAAGAAAATGTGTATCGCGCGCTTCGAGTGTGCCCAAACAAGACGCGCCTAATGCGCCTCTATCATCCCAGTGTGCGATAAACGTCTAACGTGCCGTCGTGTGCCAATTATCCCCAAAAACCAAAAAATAAGCAAAACAACCATTCGGTAGTGTAAAAAAGACACGGGTGCATGCGGACCCGTGAAGATCGAAAGTGGTCAAAGATGCGCAAGCCATGTCTAGCACTTGCCGGCTTGCCACATTTTGACGGATTTGACAGTCATACCACGATCGGCGCCCTCGCCCCAGGTTGGGAGCCATTCATCCTTGGCTGTCGTGATTGTTAGTGGGGTTTCTCTACAAAATAACGGGAATATGAGGAAAACATACCATTCCAAAAGTCCCTAGGAGCGAAGTCGCTGCCATCGACCCACGGCTTGTTGCCTTCACCGTCAAAGAACCATCCGTTCTGCGCACCGACAGCGACGTTGAGAATGAGGTAGAACTTCTGGTCGAATGGTGCATTGAGGCCACCCTTGACCCACGGGTTTTCCACAAGAGTGCCATTTGCAGTAGTGACGCCGCCGAAGCCACCCTTCTTCCAAAGCTGGTTGTCCTCGGTGAACTTGTAGTACATAACCTGCTTGAGACGGGAATCGAGGAACAGGAACAGGTACTTCTCGGTCCACTCAAGTCCGAACGTGTGGTAGGTTGAAGCAAAGGTTTGGCGGCGGAAGAAAGCATTACCGTGTGTGTTAATGTAACCGTCGTGCTTGGAGTCGGGGCCCCAGTGGAGAGTCGAGGACATGAAGTCGTTGCCTTCGGGGTAAGGCCATGCGTTTCCGCGGAACTCAGCAATGTCGATTTCTCCGCTGCGGGGCCACTCGCCGTAGACATTTTCTTCAGGCATCATCCCTAAACATCAGTGTTAGTATCCATCGATATTGTGGCGCAAGTTTCATATGCAACGTACAGATGGCGGGCCACAACCAGTCACCCTTTGAGGTTTTGGCGACAACCTCGACACGACCGTACTTGATAGATTTCTTTCCTTTGGTAGTCATGCGTGCGGAACGAACAGGAGGAATGATGGCACCAGTGGTCGCGTTGGACCTGATGCTGCAGGATTTGTAGTCGGTCGAAGTGCAAGAACCGTCACCACCTGCCTTGGTGATGTTGAGCGTGTAGCCATCGACAAGCTGCTCTGCAGTGATGCCCGTGGACTCGGTCGTCAGAGTCGGAACAATGTGGAGACCCTCGGCATCAACATAGCTGTTCTTTGGGTCGTCGGTCGTCCAGTCGAACTCGCCATTTCCGTAACCACCAGTCTAAAGGTGGGTGGTTAATTTGGCGAAAGAGGAATGTTGACGTGGTTGCTTACCTGAATCTCGTAGCCCCAGTTGGCGGGGTCAATCTTTTCAAAGTTGTCATCCATGATGAGACATCCTTCGGGGACCTTGGCTTCATTGACACCTGTGTATGCAATGTAACCGGAGAGACCCAAGCCGATGACTATGCAGGCGAAGGTGATCCAGTTGCCAATCTTGGTGCGCTTTATCCTTGGGTCATCCTTCCATGGAAGCTCGCGCCTGGAATGATGGTCAGTTTGTGCGAAAGATTGAAACAAGCATATAGACAACATACTCTCCCCGTAGCCTGTAGCTCTTGAATGGTCGCGGTTGTTTCCGCAGTTCAGCATTGCCCATTTGGTTCGGGCCGAGTCCGAAGGAGAGGTTGGAGGGGTTCCTGGGCAGGTAGCTACCAGCTGTTGATTGATCGGTACGTCTTTGTGTCATGCCAGCAGGAATGCTTGGGACATCTTGGGATTGGGCCTCAGGTGCCGGAGCATCAGCCTCGGGGGCTTTCTTACTACGCTTGAATAGAGAAGGCATGTTTGGGCGGGAGGAGGGGGAGGAGTAACGAGTGTGGAGAGCAAAAGTCCAAGAAAGGCTCGAGTGGTGAGCGGGCCGGGACGAGGGAGTTTATTGCCGAATCCAACTCGAGTCGAGGAGATGGGGTTGAACAAGCGAAGCCGCGGCGGGAGACAGTGTTGAGAGGTAAAGTATCAATACCTCAGCCAAGCGGTCTGGCTTTTTTTGCGGCTCGCAAGAATCGATAGTAGGCTGGCTGGGCCGTCGTCGGGATGAGCGAAGTCTGACGGCTCTGCCAGTCTAGATTTAGAACATTCGACACATTCACCAGCACAAGTTGGCCTAGCCGACCTGATGGTTTCTGCATGCGCAAGGGGCACGACATGGGCTGTGGCTTGATACCAGGGCTGCGAGTAGACTAGCGCTCGCCTAGATGCAGGTACCTAGGTTGCTGCCGCTAAGATAAGCACGCGGCTAGTGTGACAGCCTTGCAGTCATCAGTCCAGGATGTGCCGCCACAGCACGTTTAGCGAAGCGACAGAGACTGCACCGCCCGTACTAGGCCCGAGGCTGAACGTCCACCATGGCGGCACAGGAGTCGGACGCCACGACGTATCCTTTCTCTTCGTGGTTCGTGCCTAGATTTAGCGCCCGGTCGATCTCGTCACAGTGCCGCGCGACTCATACCGACCTCTGCCTCCCCCTGCGAGTAGATCGGGCTCGGGGTCGAACTGGGGCACCAGCGCCCTCGCCCACTCTCTGGGACCGATACTAGTGGATAGACATCCCTCTACAAACCTGCATGTCGTAGATACGATGCCCATCCCCTCTCCGTATCTGCAAGTTTGTGGCCAGAATCCTGCAGCTCGGACGCTGGCCCATCGTCGTCGATTGACTTATCTCCAGGCCGGCTAAACACCGCGCTACCATCATGGTGCGTCGCACCTCGACGACTCCACCCCTGCCGTCTGACTCTGTCGACTAGAACCTGGCCTGACTCAAAATAGCCCGGGTGGGCATGGCGTCATGCAACAACCTCAAGGTTCGAGACAAACAGTCTGCGACGTGTGGCTGCCCAGTGGCGAGCTGCTTGATGTGCTGGACAGATGCCCTCAATCTAGCCAGGCCATGTTGCTAATCTTAACAACGGGATATCCGCCAGGGTCCTTATCGCTGCGACTGCGTGACAATGCGTCATCAAGGCTATCGTCTACCACGTTGGACCTGTGCTGTCAAGCTACACCACATTTCGGAAAAAATAAACGAATGATAAAACAATCTCACAGGGTCCTGGGCCCGCGTGAGTTCATGGCAATGGGTATGATTGTGTACGCTCACCCAGCAATCCACACGCGGCCCATTCTTCGGTCTCGGCCTGCAGCAACTTACCAGGATTTCGGCCTGGGTTACTGGCCGGTTTTGGATGGTCAAAGCACCTCCAAGTGGTCCACCATTTCCTTAGTCGCCGTCAAACTGAGGCTGGCTGGTAGATGGCGCTACCCAGTGCCGAGGACGATAGTTGCCTTTTGCAAAAAGTAAATTCTCCTCGTCGGGACAAACGTCGACAGCAGCGGTGGAGCTAATGTTTAGCCGCCACTTTGCTGGCTCAGGCACAAGCCTCGGAGATGCGAGCGACCATCAAACTTAGAGATGCCTCCTTTTGACCCCGATTTCGATCATGACAAACAATCTCAACTATCTTTAGGCCCATCAAGCACCCCTTCGTTATCGTTTAGTCGCCTTGCCCATCGTCCCGACACCGAGGCTCGCTGGGCGGAAGAGCGACCGGGGCGTGCACGGCAAGGTATGTGATTTCATGTTAGGATCGCTAGGTCCACCTGGTGGCCTGAGATTCCGCCCATTCTGGATTATCATGGCTGCACGGCGGCGTTTGTGACAGACGCAGTGACCCTTTTCGGGATGCTCGCGTAGGGACTCTTGTTGAGATTCGAACGTGCTAGACCAGGGGGGACGCCGACTATTCGATAGTGTGTAGCATGAGTGTATCTCTGACCGTGGTGGCTACGGGCTGGACCGGGGCGGAGCTTCGCGTAGGTGAAGGAAATTCTGTACACACTACCAGCTGTGCCGCCTTGATAACCTCTGCTCTGCGACCCCTTTGACTCGTTTTCAGTTCTTCACTCTTGTCATTCTTCGCAGGGCTACTTGCCCATTCCTTCGTTTTCGGGCTCTGAACGTCACGTTTGCCTCGTGGCATCCCCGTTGAGCCTTTTTTTACTATCGCTTAGCAATAACCCCCGTTAATCTTTACTCACGTACCGTAATTGTCGTGACATATCCAACATGTCTTCCGCCACCCCTTCCCAGGATGGGAACAGACCCGTCATCCCCTCAAGCAGGCAGTCGTTGAGTGACAGCGTCAGCGACTCGCGCTACTCGGTGCCCCAAACTCCCAATGGCCGACCTCCTGTGTCGCGGCCTTTGACCATGAAGATCGATGAGGATTCTAGATACCGTGCTGTAAGTATCTTCGCTCACACGTCACGTGCCATGGCGCTGATTTCCCCAGATCATCAAGCATCTCCACGCCAAGGCATGCTCTATGCGTTGGATGACTGCTGGAGCCCAATCACCTGGCTCTTGCGAAGGTGTCTTGATCCGTAAGGGTCAGGGAGAATATGTCTCGGAGCCCGTAACTGCAGACCAGGATCTCGTGGCTGCAGTCAAGAGAATCAACCCTGGTGTCGCTCTCACCATGAGCACCGATGGCACACAGGCCGTGTTCGATGTCCTCGAGCCCTTCGAAACCGAGTTGATGTTCCAGAACGGCTCCCAGATTCAAATATTCGAGTCCATGGCCGAAGTCGCTACATCTAGCACCATCCGCAAGTTCCAGTATGCTGCCCTCATCCGACAAGAAAGGCTCTTGCTTGTCTGGCACGACGACCTTGGTGCCATTCTTTCTCAGGCCATGGAAGTCGAGTCCAGGATCCTCGGTCTTGTCTGGGGTACAGCCAAGAACCCCTTCAGCGGTTTCGACAGCGCTGTTCAGTCCAGTGCAAACTCCACTCTTGGCGGCTCCACGATGGATTTCGATATGGGCAAGAAGGAAGACGTCGAAGTTTCCACCGAGGAAGTCGATGCCGACGCCGAGAAGGGACTAGGTCCCAAGGAATCACTTGCTCGTCCACTCATTTTCACCAGCTCCCTCTACATCGGTCTCGCCATGAGCTTGATCTTGGTTCCAGTCTTGGGACTTGGTAACAGGGCGCTGATCCTCGAGACCATGACTGACAAGTTCTACCCTCGTCTTCTGCTCATCCTTGTTGAACCATTCTGGATTGCCCTGGGTCTCTTCTTCGTCGTCGTCGTCCTGGGTAACATCTTCCAAGTTTTTGGTCCTATCACTGGTGTCCTGACCAACAGTCGTTTCCACTCTGCCATCAAGCCAAATCTTACTCAGGCCCGCTCTATGGGTTTCACCCCATCAACCATCACCATCCAGATGCCCATCTACACTGAATCTCTAGAGGGTGTCGTCAAGCCAACCGTAGCCAGTCTGCAAGCCGCCATCTCTCACTACGAATCCCGTGGTGGAACCGCACGTATCTTCATCAACGACGACGGTATGGCTGTCCGTTCTGAGGAGGACAACGAAAAGTTTCTGCGCTTCTACGAGAACAACAACATCGGATGGGTTTCGCGTCCCAAGCACAACCACGAGGGCTTCGTCCGCCGCGGAAAGTTCAAGAAGGCTTCCAACATGAACTTTGCTCTCAACACCTCCAACCGTGTCGAGGATGTCCTCCAGCAACTAGTCGACTCTCGCTACCCCGGCAACGCTTCCATCACCGAAGAGGAAGAGCTTACGCTATACCATGAGGCCCTCGACCAGGTTCTTGCCGCCGACCCTCGCGCCAAAGCTGGTGGTAACATCCGTATGGGTGAGATTATTCTCATCGTCGATTCCGATACCATTGTTCCCGAAGACTGCCTCATGTACGGTGCCGCTGAAATGTACCTCTCGCCCGAAGTTGCCATTGTCCAACACGCCACCGGTGTCATGCAAGTTTCCTGGGATTACTTCGAGAACGGTATCACCTTCTTCACCAACCTCGTCTACGCTGCTATTCGCTTCGCTGTCGGCAGCGGTGAGGTCGCTCCTTTCGTCGGTCACAACGCCTTCTTGCGCTGGCAGGCTGTTCAGTCTGTTGGTAACCCTCCCGAAGAGGATGGCTATGTCTGCTTCTGGTCTGAGAGCCACGTTTCCGAGGACTTCGATATCGCGCTTCGTCTCCAGATTGCAGGCAACATTGTTCGTCTTGCCAGTTACCACGGCCGTGGGTTCAAGGAGGGTGTGTCGCTTACCATCTTCGACGAATTGGATCGATGGGAGAAATACGCCTACGGTTGCAACGAGCTTGTCTTCAATCCCCTCCACACTTGGCTATGGAAGACCCCTTTCACCAAGCTCTTCCGCACCTTCCTCTGGTCCAACATTCAGCTTTCTTCCAAGATTTCCATCTGCGGTTACATCTTCTCGTACTATGCTATCGGATCCGCTGTTCCTCTTGGTGCTCTGAATTACTTCCTGGTCGGTTGGCTCAACGGTGAACTTGACAAGTACTACATCGAGTCTTGGAAGAGTAAGTCCATATCCTACCCTTCAATAGATCCACCACTAACATCACCTAGTCTTCGTCACCTTGTTGGTTGTATTCAACCTGATGTCCAACGCCTGCTTTGCCATCATGCGTTATCGTATCGGCGAGGCCAGCCTCATCGGTGCCTTTGCTGAAAACATCAAGTGGATGCCCTTCTTCATGGTCTTCTTCGGTGGTGTCTCGTTCCACATCCTGCTCGCCATCTGCTCTCACATGTTCTGCATCGACATGAGCTGGGGTGCCACAGCCAAGGAAAAGGACAACTCCAACTTCTTCGCCGAATTGCCCAAGATCTGGAAGCGCTTCAAGTGGATGTACATGCTCATGTTTGCCTTCATCGGTGGCATGATCTATCTCGGCTGCTTTGCTCCTCACGGCTGGGAGATTACCGGCATGACTGCTGTTGTTCCGTAAGTACCATTTCCTACTCCTACTTGATTGGCCTTTCGCTAACCCTGCTCAGTTGGTCCGTCACTGTCATCATGCACTGCCTGGTGCCCATCGTCCTCAACCCGTCCTTGACGGTCTTCAACTATTAAGTTCGTTTCATGATTAGATGATTTCTCTTTCTGTCGGATCAGCGGCTGTGGCGTTGGAAAATTGGCGGCCAGTTGGCATACTTGGTCGGGATATACGGAGTGGATTGTCGCATCTAAAAGGGCATCGTTTCCCTCATCATCATCGCCTTTACTAGACTCCCAAGGCCTTTCCTTGTTAATTTTTATTCAATATGAAATGGTATTTCTATACTCACAGTCGGTTCCACCTATTGGGGGCCTGCCTTGCTGTTCATTTGCCACTCAGCCCTACCCCACTTCGGAGGTGATTGTTTCGTGTACATTTTTTTCTCATCTCCCCGTTGTCGCAAGGTAATGGAGATGGACTTGAGATGAATATGAGTTGGTTGCAGTGTGTTGTGTCGTGATGGTGAACCGGATGTGTCGGGCAGCTCTGCGATATACATGAACCGGACATCGCAGGGCAGGCACGCGGCGGTCGGGGCTGGCTGAAAAAGTAACAAGGAGGGCCTCGACTGCGCGCACCACCTGCACACACTTCAGCACTCGCCTGGTCCATTTGTGCGCCATTATCGAGCCGTTGGGTGCGCCATGTGGTAAGACGAGCCGTCGTCTTTTTTTTGATAGGCTGACCGGATTCAAAATGCAAGTCTAGACTGCCACTTTAGCACACTCAACCATGGTGGGCGTCTTCAGCTTCAATTCTCGGTTCAAGCGCCCGACGCGCTCATGATCGGACATACACTTGAGACACGGCAACACCATCTATTGTAATCGGACTTTTACCAGATGGCTTCTCTTCTACACTGCAAAACAGTCTAGATTTCGCTTATAATTCTCTGGGCGTAATTCTGTACTATACAAGGCATCCCGATTCCGCCATGTGACACCAGTAGTGACTTGCGCGACCGATTCTGGGTAGCGCACGACACAGCTTGCCAACCACGAGCAGGTATACACATAGGGTTCACGAAGAAGTTGCATCGCTTCTCTCAGCCGGTAGCCCTACAGCTAAGCCCACTGTCTACGATGACGCAACCTCTCTGCCCAACGAGGAGTTGACGCATGATTCCAAGTCGTCTACTCATGTCCTTGACCTAAATCATACGATTTCCCGCTTAAGAGGTACAAAAATGGGGTTGGGAATGTCTTGTCAAGCCTTAGCTTCCGCCACATAAACTAGGGTCGTATGAGAATCCAGCGTCTTGCGGATCCGAGTGCCCCAGTGGCTTGTGAGATCCGGGTGACCACGGCTCAACAGCCATAGCTGAACCAGATCGAAGCGAATGGAACTTTGGCAAACCTGCGTACGACTTGTGAAACTGAAGCAGTCTGATGGGGCAATGAGAAGGCCAAAGTCACTCAAAAGGATGCTGAGACATGGCGCAAATCCTCGCCATTATAGCCTCGAACAAACTGGTTATTTGTCTGCTGGCGACAACACAGCAAAACTCCTTGCTGGTCTAATACCATGCTTAAACGAAGGGGTTTTCATACACATGAGTTGGACTTTTCGCTCAATCGTGCGGAGAGCGATGTCCGTGGGTGGTATTTCCTGAGTGCCATCCTTGACACTGATACGTGGGGGTGGAGCATCATGCAACACTTTCCTGCGATCAAAACACTGATTTTTTATATCTTTCATTAAAAGCTCCAGACTAGAGGAGCCACTGCAGTGCTGTCAGCAAACCCCATGTTTAACGCCTGCCCGAAATCGTCATTAGGAAGTCGACTTACTCGGATGGAGAATTATACACGATCGATAAGATTCTGCATTCTGTCCGCTCGGTTGATTCAATTGGACTATTGCAGAATCAGTAGTTTCTCCCTTTCATATATCTCTTACGTATCATGCGGAGGTTACATAAAGGAAGAACTAACACTGATAAGAGCTGAGCATGTGATGAGTTGATATGCATATTCACATAGTTTTGAGGCTCAATCGCATAACCATGGGTATTTGTGCTGAGGGGAGTGACTACAGGCAGCTGCGTTCTCTGGGAGAGGGGAAAGACCTCATGTCCAGCCTCACGCGTCAACTTGCGTTCTTCGTGTCCTAGTGCATATGAGATGGACAGGCTACCACCCAACTATTGATTACAGACGATCATCAAAATCTAGACGTAGCTCGTCTTCTACTCATTCTGCTTGGCATATCTAAGTGGCTTTCAATCCATATACCGGTCATGAGCACAGCCCTAGGCGTACTCCGGGAACTGCAATACCCCACCCCCGAATGACGTCCAACTCGAGCGCACAGTGAGCGAAATGACTACGACTCGCTCATTTGCAACTAGAATGAACCAGGCACCCGCGACTATATTGAAACCTTATCGGAACGCTAATCAAGTCTGAGTCTCGAGATTGTAGACTGATAGCTGGTGGATGTAAGGCTGTGCGCACTTTGAGGAGGCTTAGCCCACAAGAACACCTGGCATATCTCAAATCACCTTACATTTCCCATCGCATGTTTTTACTTCTTCCATTAGTATGTTAGTCTCTTACTAACGCAAGCTTTCACTTCGCTTGGAGAGCATAACGTGGTGGTGGCTGAGCCGAACCAAGGCGAAAGTCAGCCGCGGCTGACAGCAGGAACTGATTATTTATTGCTGGCAAGATTGCAATCTTCAATCTGTAATTCAATCAAACGTCAAAAATGGGTTGGTTTAGCAACTCCAAAAGCAGTTTCAAATCACCGTCAGTCCCATCTACCGACGCACCCGATTCCACACCGCCAGCGTCTACAATAGCCTATGGAGTGAATCCTCCTCATATATATCAATACCAACCCGGCTGTAGCCCTATTGCAATCCAAGTCTCAATAAAGGGGCCTGATGCGAGCATACCTCCGCAGTTAACCACAATTGATGAGGCGGTACCTTCAGCAGCGTCGGTAGAGGGCAGACCCAATAAAGTTCACGAAAACTCATTGATAACACACCGCCCGTCAGAGAGGATAGTAGAAACTGAAGACTCACGAGAGCATAATCCAAATCATACACGCCATGCTTCGGTCCAGCTCCAGCCTATGTCACCGGTCGATTCGGTAACGTCAAGTGACTTCAATCAATATGCACACCCTCGGCAGTCCAAAACCCCTATAGCGGACCAGTTATCTGTCCTACCTCCGACCCAAACAGTTAGTTCGCCGACTACCGGTAGCATGACCAAGCCAACATGCTCTTTGAACCTCATGTGCTACAGATCTGGCAGCCAGGGCTGCGTAAGACGCCAAATCCACGTACTAAGTCAAGCCCGGTTGGCCATATCTCGAGACGATTACTCCAGCATAGTTTCCATAAAGAATTCAGGTGGTTTAGTTCGAACCGATGAAGAGTTCTTCGCTGCCCTCCATCGCGAATACGAGCACCATATTTGCGGCTTCTGGCGACGATACCTATCGCTCAAGACGCTAAGACAGATTCGACTCTTATCGTATACGCCTTCGACCCGCCCGGAAGTCGTGCCGATGGATGACTTCACTCTGCAAGAAATGTTCTATGCGTACCAACACTTCAAAAACATAAAAACGGAATCAGAATGGATTGACTGGGTGTTCCGGCTTCGCCAGGAGGATCGCCGTCATGCTTTAGAGTTTGTGGAGGGCTGGAGCGGCTTTCGCATTGGCCTTGTTGGGTCAGTGCCATGGGTCGCGGCGACTGCAGTGGGTGTTGCGTGGATGGCAAGAGGTGGCGATGCACAGACGGCTTTTACGGTTGCTGGTTTCATTCTGACGGTTGGAACTTGTAAGTTATGACGGCTACTGTGAAATTTTTCCCTGCTTACTTGAGATAGCTTTACTTGCTCTGCTTGCTATTGTTAGCAAGATTGAGTCTTGAGTCGTACTGCTGTGGTCTTTTTCTTCTCATTTGGACTTTTCCACATTTTGCATCATATCCATGAGCGTAATTCGCTTCTTCTCCGCGGTGTCCAAGGGTATATTTTCTTGGCAGCCTAGGGTATCTTATTCGCTAATTACATATTGTGCGATCGCATCCGTTTTGAACGGGAAGTAGATGAAGCAGACGGAGCATAGATAAGTGACTTGCTTAGCGACTTTGTGCTGTTTTGATATTCAGTGGAGCGGTATAAGGCAATGTGTTTTGTGTTAGGAAGATGGAACGCGCCTGAGCAGCGAGATGGAGACGCTGCAGTGCTGGCAAGCTTTCATTGGGCCGTGTAAATCCTTCCAGGCAGCATATATGCTGGGCTGCGGCACAGTGTTATGCAGTGGATTTCTCTCTAACACCTGCATCTATAAAAGGATATCTGAAGAGGAGTGTACTCTCCATCATTGATTTCATCTTCATTACCGCCTTTTCGATGCTTACATATGGCCATGTCGCGACAGAATTCGCTTGTTGTCAGATCTGGTCGCAATGATACTCAACGGCTTGCCGAGAGGAGCGACTCTTATTGTTCTGAGTGCCTTAAGAAGGTTTTCAAGAAGATTCCATCGGACGACAAAGATTCGAAATTCCATCGGGATATTCATGAACTAATTGACTGCAGCAATCGATGTGAGCTGTGTAAATATATTTGTAATCTCTTTGGAAAACCTTACCTAGAAGATTTCATCGCCCGGGCCAATGAATTTAACATGAAGCCAGTAGAGACTCCTACTCCCGATACGGCTAACAACATCGTCCGTCTCGAGAGCGGCAGCTACACAACTTTATATCTCTTTTCCCGGGAACCGAGAACTGCACCGACATTAAACATCTCTCATGACACCAGAAGATCGATCTCGGATGTGAATGGACATTTCGATCACGCTGTTGTATACATACATCTTGTTCATTTGATTAGGAAAGTAAAAGATGCGAGGTCCTTTTTTCTTTATATGGAAGCTGGTATGCCTCGTGTGTTCTTAGTCAGAATAGCCAGAGGTTTCTAACCATTTGCAGGAAGAGCATTTAACCGCCCGATATGGAGTGGACTAGAGCCAGTCGATTTCCGATCACGAAGCGCAACGATCCGTGAATGGCTCACCGAATGCGAAACGTCCCATCCAAACTGTTGGAGGCCTCCGAAGCCAGACGTCCAGTTAGCAACACGTATACTCGATGTCCAAGAGCTTGAAACCGACCTTTACTCAATCAATCTCGTCTCAACTAAAGGAATTGACTTGCACAGTAGACCTTACATCGTCCTCACTCATGTATGGGGAGGTATAGAGCTGCCTTGTAAGACGACTAAGAGCAACATAGCGAAATACTATGACGAGGGCATTGGTTTTGATAATCTTCCGAAGACTTTTCAAGATGCCGTCCGCCTTACCGTAGCTATTGGGTTCAGGTACCTTTGGATAGACAGTTTGTGTATCATCCAAGATGACACAGAAGATTGGCAGCGAGAGAGTGCCAAGATGGCAGCAATCTATGGTACAGGTACTATTACTCTCTCTGCAACTAGTGCCGAAAATAGCCATGGAGGATGTGGCCTATCTCCAAAGATTCAGTCCGTAACTCGATTTTGCAGTACTGACCCCGGACGCCCTGACTTTGCCGTCAAGGAACAAGGTTTTTCTCTTCGTCATCCCTCAATCACCAGCAGAGGGGAGCTGCATGATGAACCGGTTTATAAAAGAGCATGGATACTGCAAGAAAAGATTCTCTCGCGTCGGGTTCTACATGCTACCTACTCTCGATTTGTGTGGAAATGTAACGTAATCACGGAGAGCGAAGATGGCCTTGTGTACAACCAGAAAACATATTTGCCTCCGGGTAAAGCATGGCGTACCTTGAATAGAGGGTTTCCACAAGAGATGCGCGATGGTGGTCATGAGGAACAATATGTCTTTGAGTTCGACTGGCGTTGGTGGATTTACGCGACCGATTACTCGAAGCGTGCCCTCACCCGTACGAGCGATCAATATGCCGCCCTGGCTGGAATTGTACAGTTTCATCAAGACATTTCGGGCGATCGACCTGTGGTAGGTCTATGGGAACGTCATCTTATAATTCATCTAGCATGGGAAGTAAGGCGCGATACTCAAGAGCATAAAACGCCTCTATATGAGCCAGCTGATCGTCGCCCAAGTTGGACATGGATGACGTTTACTCATGGCAGCGTTGAACTAAGTCCATATTTTGTATGGAGATATCTCGCAAAAAATGAATGGACACCAGAAAGTCTGGGTATGGTGTATCAAGCCCAAGTCTTGAGCACCGATATTAGGTGGAGCAGCGAGCCGTTAACATCTGACCCGAGCGGCAGCACCGTCAGCATTCGTGGGATAATGCGCCGCATGCGAAAGCCAAAGCCCGTTCGAACCGCCATGTATAGTCCGTTATGCCTAGACCCGGGAGTGTCTGACGAGAGGGGAGAAAATGGCGAATATGACACAATTGCTCTCTTCGCCTATGGGCTTAGACCGGGTTTGACGAACCAATCGCCAGTTGTAACGACTGTGTACTTAGTTGTTGAAGCGATAGGGGAGAAACACGCAAGCACTTACATGCGCATTGGGTCGATGCGTCTGACGGAAGATTTTGATTTGTATAGTGGCCGAGTATATAGGCCTGAAGGTGTTGCAATGGACATCACCCTTGTCTAGTTAAAGAGGTGACATATCACAACTGCTCGACATATGCACTGTGAGCATTGAAGTGGAGAAAAGAAAATGTCCAAGCCCGTACAATGTCATGTTGCGGCCGATCAGGTGGACAATCGTGTAGCTGATGGACCCCGCTACGTCAGCTCTAGGGCTTTGGCGGGGCAGCTCAACCAAGTTGAGAGCTGAAACAAGCGCTAGCTATACAAGACCCTCTCACTCCTCGTTGCTTTCACCTCTTCTCCAGTACTCTCCCATATCCCAACGTTTTTCTTTTGAATAAACACAAGAGCATACGAAGACACCAACACGATGCCGCAGTTCAGCGACATCTGGCTACCATGCCTGATTCTGCTTGTCTTTTGGGCTCGCCCCACCGCAGCTTTTGGTGCGGGCAACATCGCAAGCTTGAGCTCCATTGAGGGACAGAACTGGCGCCATGGAGATATTGAAGATACCCTTCTTACGCTGCTCATCAGCGGTCACACCGGCAAGAAATTCAGCAAGATGGACGTCAAGCGTGTCTACTTTGGCAACTGGCTGCGCGACTACTCGCAAGCAGTCGATGTGGGCACTGTCAAGATGGTCTCAGCAGAGGCGATTCGCATCCTACTATGGGTTCTTGGCTTCATGAGCTTCGGATACGGTACCAAGGAGTTTGAGGTTACCCGCGACCGTCTTGGCTGCTACAGGCCGGAGGAGCATATCGACAATCCCAAGGTCAGTTCTGCAGCCTACCCGATCGGACACACATACTGACCCTTCAGGACTATGCTGACAACATCGATGCCCGCGACTACGATCGTCGTCTACGAGCTCCTGTTGACGAACGTCGTGAGCTCAGTATCGATGAGAAGACTGGCCTGAAGAACTACATTGCCTCGGAAAAGTTGGGTATCACAACATCGGCTGGTATGGTCCGGGACCTCCTCACACGTTGCATTGATTTGGGTCAACGCTCTGGAGGACGAGGTCCCGACTTTTACGAAGCTCTGCGTCTTCTCGGTACCGCCACACACTGTCTGGAGGACTACGCTGCCCACTCCAACTACGTTGAACTTGCCTTGATCGAGATTGGTGTACATGAAGTTTTCCCCCACGTAGGTAGGAATGCTCGATTCTACGTCGAAGAAGCCAAGAAGGAGGTCTACCCCATCGTCACCGGTACCTTTGGTGGTGTCGATTTCTTGCACTCTGTATGCGGAGAAATTACAGACAAAGCTACCCAATCCGAGCTTCAGGAGCTTGAGGGTGCCATCTCCAACGCCGACAGGAGCAAAAACAAGAGCAAGATTAAGGAGCTCCTCGACAAGCTCCCAGAGGGCATCTTTGGTGGTAAAGATGAGGCTAGCAAGGCTGATGAGCTTGAAAGCAATGCCAACGCTACAGCCATGGGCAATATGCGCATCACCCCCAAGGAGCCAGAAGAATTTACTCAACAGATTGGGGAATTAGTCAAGCAGATCTACCCTATTATGGAGTTCCACGATGAGATTATGCAATCCATTTCTGAATTCATCGAGAAGATTCCCATTCTGCCGGACCTGATTGAGGAAGTCCAGAACCAAGTAACCATCTTCGTCTTCAGTCTACTTGCTCCCTACATCTTGCCTATTCTCAGCCAGGTAAAGACTGAGCTTGAAGAGGGCTCGACTGAGGTCATTGCAAGCTCTCGCGAAAAACAGCATATTGTCTTCAACGACGACGATTGCACCGACCCCACTCACAGTATGCTTTCCAAGGATCATTTTTCTAACATCCTCAATGAGCCTGCTGGTCGAGTAGCTTCAGCTACGATTGCCTGGGCTGTACCACAAATTGTCAAATGCTGGGATGGCCAAGCAGACCCTGACAGGACCATTAGCACCATCATTAAAGGTGTGTTCCATCACCCTGCCTGTGTCGAAGCGGATGGAAGGGCAGAGTATACCGAAGGCCGCCGCATCATGTTCAGAACTGTCGCAGAGTGGTGGAAGGCTCAAGACCAAGGCAGTCTGCGTGAGAAGCTTAGTCGCGAGGGCGTAGAAACTGGTCAGAATCACAAGGCTGATATGCATGACAAGGGGCACGGCTGCGGTAAGCCTCTGGGTATGGCCAATAACTTCGGCCCAGCAAGCAGTAAGACGGGTACCAATGCACAGATTCAACAAGCGTCCGATCATGTGGGCAAACTTGCAGGTGAAGCTGTTGGCGGTGGTGCCCTCGGCGGTATTGTTGGGGGACTCGTTGGTGGTATTGGAGGCTCTATTCTCGGAAACGCTTTCAATGAGCAGGAGAGGAAGAGCCACAAAGAAGAGAGCTATGGCAACGACGGCTCCTACACTCAGTCTTACTCAGAGACGGGGCACCACCAGGCGTCCTCATATGGTGACAGCGATCGCTACGGAAGTGCCCAGTATCAACAGACCCAGTACCCAGGTGGTGGGCGTCGGGAAGAGTACTCTCGTGAGGAACGAGACGACCGTGGCGGATCGTACAGTTACCAGCAAAGGGTTGAGACCTCAAGCTATAGTGGATCTGGCGGATACGAGCGTCATGAAGAGCGTCGTGTTCAGCAAGGAAGTGAATGGCGTTCTGAAGAATCGCGTGAGGGTTTCGACCGATCAGGACAATACTATTCGGAAGAGAGAGAGTAAGTAGCTTACTCTTAACGTTGCAGACATGGACTAACATTTGATTAGGCGACGCGGTAAGTCCAAGAAGCATGACGACGATGATTCCAACGACTCAGGCGACGGAGATTCCTATGAGAAGCGCATGAAGAAAGAACGCAAGCAGCGTGAAAAGGATGAAAAGAAGCACCACAAGCACCACAAACACCACAAACACGGTAGTCGTTCTGGAGACTCGGATGACGATGCTGACAAGCGTCGATCAGGTTCGGGAGAATACAAGCGTCGCTCCCGCTCTCGTTCTCGTGAGCACGAGCGCCGCCGTGAAAAGAGTGGCAGTCGCTCGCCCAAGCGTTATTCGGGCGGTCACAGCCAGGAACAGCGCTATGGTGAGGAATCAGGGTATGGTCGCCGACAGCAAGACTACGGCCGTGAAGAGTCATACAGGTATGAAGATCTAGGATATGGCATTGACCCTAGAAACAATAGCCATGAGCAGTCTCAGAACATTGCTGACTCTTACAGTTCCAGCGGATACGGTCGTCAAGAAGAATCAGGCTACGGTCGTCAGGAAGAGTCGGGCTACGGTCGTCAGGAAGAGTCGGGCTACGGTCGACGAGAAGAGTCGGGCTATGGCCGTGAGGAGTCTTCTCGCTATGGCAATGAGTCTTCTGGGGGATATGGCCGTTCCGAAGGCCTTGAGTACGGTGGCGAGCGCCCCGAGAGATCATATGGCGCTTCCGGCGTGCCAGGAGGCTTCGGTGGAGATGAGGATGAATATGGCCAGAGGAGACAAGAGTATGGCTCAGGCAGGTCTGGTGGTCAACATGGTGGCTCCGGCGGATATGGGGATGAGGGTTATGGAAGGCGATACTAAGTGTGACGTCCCACAGGCGGGGTGTCTCATGCTTATGTGCTGTGCTTGGAGCACCATGATGACTTTATTGTAGTACCTGAGTAAGCACTTAGTGCAAATGACTGATGACTTATTGCCAGGAATGATATGCAATTCTTTGAAGAGTGTACTTGTGCTACGTGACACATGTAACTTACATACGAGATATATGCACAAATCGTCATTTCTTAGAGACTCGGTCTTGCCTTTGGCTTTCCCTAAACGATGTAATCTGGTTGTTTATGTATATTCACGTATTCTCTCTTTCTCTATGGTATCATGAGAAGGTCAATGAATGGTGTAAATGTCAGACGGATTGAACAAGAGAATGAATTGAAAGGATCGACGTGCTTCATCTAGCACCTGAGTTTTGCAGATGCTGAGGCAATCGAACATATGCACAGTTATCTTCATTGATTCTTATTTTTTTTTGCTACCAGACTGAATATATAGGTAGTGAAAACTAAGAATAGTGTGTTTTATTTCAGAAGATAGAATAGCAACAGTGGCTGGTCCGTTGTCGTTGCAAATGTACGAATACGCAGAGCATGTGAAGGCGAGATGAGCGTGACCTGATGCGCGCAGCTTAAACGCGCTAGTATCAAGCCGGGACCATGTCAACCCTCACGTTGGAAAGATTGACCAGAACGCGCCAACGTCACTAATTCCACCCTGCTGTGTTTCTCTAGTCATTTGTTTTAACTGTGGCGCCGAAAAAATGACGAGCATTGACGAGCTTTTCAAAGGCGCAAACGGCTCTTCAAAGCGCAAGTTTGAGAACCCAAACGAAGCCGATCCAACGCAATCGTACAAATCCGCGAAGCTAAACGGAAATGGCGACGTAAAGGGCTCAGCGCAAGCCTCAGTAGCCGACGAAGAAGACGATGACGAGGCTGGCCCTTCATTACCACCGGATTTCGACGACGGCCCAGGCGACGATGACGAAGGTCGATTCTTTGGCGACGGTTTGGACGAGAATGCGCGAGATGCCATGGAATACATTGATGCGCTAGATGGCGGCGAGGCGATAGGAGAGGAAAAGTACGATGTTCCCTGGGTGCGCAAACTAGCGCTCAACTTTGAGAAGAAGGTCAACAAGAATGCTTCGCTACGCGCAAAGTATGAATACGATCCTACAAAGTTTATGGAGTCGGAGGGCGATTTGGATGAAGGCATAAAGGCGCTGAGCATACTGTCAGAGCACCCGGAGCTATACGAGGAATTCGCAAAGAGCACAGCAGCGTCAAAGTTGGTGGAACTACTAGCGCATGAGAACACAGACATTGCAATCGCTGCGATTGAAATGATATCGGAGCTCACAGACGAGGACGTGGGAGGAGAGCAGGAGCAATGGGATGCGCTTGTGGTGGCATTCATGGAGGCAGACTTGGTCAGCCTGCTCATCTCCAACTTTTCGCGCTTCGACGAAACCGACGAGGCCGACGCATCTGGCGTGTACAATTCGCTCAGCGTAATCGAGAATCTACTGTCACAACCAGCAAATACAGACTTGATAGGGAAGGAAACCACGCTACTAAAGTGGCTACTCGACAGAATCCAAAAGTCCGAGAAACCAACATCACAAAACAAACAATACGCCGCCGAGATCCTTTCCATCCTCACACAATCTTCGCGACCGAACCGAAACCACGTCGCCGAAGCCAATGGCGTCGAAATCTTCCTCACAAATCTTGCGCCATACCGACGAGATGACCCAGAAAGAGACAGCTACGAAGAAGAATACATGGAAAACCTCTTCAACTGCCTCTGCTCCATCACCGAAGAGCCCCTTGGCAAATCCAAGTTCCTCGAAGCCGAAGGCGTAGAACTCTGTCTCCTTTTCATCCGCGACGGCAAAACAAGCAAAAGCCGCGCTCTAAAAGTCCTCGACCACGCCTGCGGTTACGCCTCAGATCCCACACCAGACCCCTCCTCCAACAACAGCAAAGGCAAAGCCGCCACCCAAGACCAAGACACAGCGCCCTTAACCAACAGCGCAATGGCCGTCTGCGACAAAGTCGTCGAATCCCGCGGTCTCAAACCCTTATTCTCAACTTTTATGAAGTCCAAGAAACTAGATCCCCAACAAACCGAACACATCCTTTCGATCTTCGCCTCCCTCTTGCGTTCGCTACCCGGAAACTCCGACTCGCGGTTCCGCCTCCTCGCCAAGTTCCTCGAGAAAGATTACGAAAAGATAACTAAACTCGTTTCCCTACGACGGGATTACGTAGCCCGCCTTGCGGCATTCGATGCGCGGAGCGCTACGCTGAAGCAAGGGTTGAGCGGCGAGGAACTGGAGGAGTGGGAGTTGGAGAATACAACGGAGAGGTTGGGCGAGGGCCTGTATTGTTTGGAGCGGATTGATGCGATTCTCGCGTGGTTGGTGGCTGAGGATGCGGGAGCGAAGAAGGCGGTGCAGGAGAGGTTGGCGGAGAGGGATGAGGGGTTGGCGGATGTCAAGAGGACGTTGCAGGCGCAGTTGGATGGGGTGTTGGCGGTGGAGAAGGCCGAGAGGGATATGTTGGAGGCGTTGGTTGGATTCTTGGAGTAGAGAGGCGGGGAGGTTGGATTTGTATGATTATGTGTGAGGGGAGTTTGGAGAGGCGCGTGGGATACCTGATTGCTATGATGAGAGCTTGGAATAAGGAATGTAAGCTTCATGCGTGTTGGTATCGTGGTGATACTAGATCTCTGATGTATATAGCCAGTTGATCAAATGCAGACTGATGCTTTGCCCAGGTAAAATAGTTCTCCATACCAAGTCATGCTAACCCATGCTCTTCGTCCATCTCTTTTTGTTCTTTTCTCACTTTAAACTTCATGCAGACATCAAAACGGAACCTTAGCGAACCCTTCCCTAGACACCCATCTACCCCTCTGCCTCAAACTCATACGCGTTCGACTTATGCTTGGGTTCAAACTTGAAGTTCTCATGAGCCGGACCAAGGAACATTTCACTGTCACACCGTTAGCCACCCATACAATCTTCCTAATCACAACACAAGGAACATACCTAATCTTGATCCAATCCTTATAATGTTCACTCGCCATCAAAGTCTCCAACTCATTGCGTCCCCTAAATCTCGGCGGGCGGTCATTAATATGCGGTGGCAAATGCTCCAGCAAGCCCACAGGCACGTATCGATGCGCAAAGCTCAGCCACTCGAGCAAAAAGCGGCGTGTAGTCCCGATTCCCATTTCATCGGATCCCCAAGTCTGAAGACCGTATTTTGTGAACTTCTCGATGTAGGACAGGCGTTCGGTGGCGGACTTGTCGAGGTACTGGCCCTTTTCGATTTCCTCAAAGAGCCAGGGTTTGATGAGGGCGCCGCGGCCGGCCATGACGGTGTCGACTTTTGCGTTTTCGAGGTGATTGTAGTAGTCGATGTGAGAGTAGCAGTCGCCGTTGCCGACGAAGTAGACGTGGCCGCCGTTTGCGAGGTCGCGAGGGTCGGCTTCGGCGATGGTGTCGGTTCGGGCGTCTTTTTCTTTGCGTAGGCGGTTGATGAGGGCGGAGCACTCGGCGATGTAGGACCAGTCGGCACTCTTGGTGTAGCGCTGTTGCTTACTGCGGCCGTGGAGTGTGATGGCTGCGATGCCGGATGTACCTTTGCCGGATTCGACGGCTTCGTGGCCTCCTAGGACGAGACGCTTAATGAGTTTCTGTGCGGTGGGGTGGTTGTCTTTTGTGCCCATGCGGATCTTGACGGTGATGGGGACTTCTTTAGAGACGTAGGTCATGCCGCGGAGGATGTGCTCTAGTTTTGCTTCGCTGTCTAATAGTGCGGAGCCGCTTCCTTTTTCGCAGACGAGGTTGATCGGGCATCCACAGTTAAGATCAATGGCTCGTAGTTTAGGGCAATGGTCAGTTAGTACTTCGACGGTTTTTGTAGCCAGCCATGGCTTGTTCGCTGCGATCTGGGCACCAAACTTGAGGTCGGTAGAATTGTCATAGCCCTGAACAACAGTGTTCTTTGCTAGGAACTTTGGTGGGCTGATCTCGGATTCGTGAGCCTTCATGAGTGCCCATTCGCCTTTATCACCTTGGATCAGAGGCATGCCCATGGCCATTTCGCTCCATGTCACTTGGCAACCAAAGTCTATACAAAGTCGTCGGTAGGGCAGGTTACCCTGGGTAGTAAGAGGTGCGAGCATTGGCGTCTCAGGTCCGTAGTATAGTCTTCGCTTCTCGGATGGTCTGAAAGGCGCTTCGACATATTCTGCCCTGCGCGCTTCCTTCTCCTCCTTAAGAATCTCTGGGTCCATCTGAGCAGCATCAAACATGTCTCGTTCGTTCCGGCTATTGCTTTCAATCCATTGCAGATATTGATCAGACCGTGGTGTGCCAATTTTCCGTCTAGACAGGCCAAACTTGACCTCCTTGGGCACAATATTGACAACTTCAGCTTCAGCCTCATCGTCATCGCCAGATAGCTTCGCCTTGAGTTCGGCATTCTCTTTCAATACCAGTTCTTTTCTACCGTCCTCGGTGGTACGCTCTTCAGAGTGACTGCCAACAAAACGGCATTTCCAACCAAAGTGACAGAATCCTTTGACGGCATAAATTGGGCACTGGCCATCAAAAGTGGTCAAGTCTTCTCGTCGGCCCTCCTTCAGGTACTTGCGGAGGTCATGTTCAAACTTGCATTTTTCGCCAAATGGACAATCCTTAGGTGAAAATTCATTGTACTGTGCGCGAGTACCGCAGAGAGGTATCTTGTCGCGCGAGCTTCCAAAAGTACGACTGGTATTTTGGCCTTTTTGCTTCTTTTCTTTCTTGTTCTTGCCCTTGCCTCTAGGCGCATCGCGGGCATCAGTCTTGGGAAGGCCTTCGGATTTGTGGTCAGCATCAGCCGCCTCAGCTGCGTCGTCGTCAATCACATTATCCCCTGTGTCGGCTTTGTTGTCGTTTCGATGTATCAAGAATCTGGTGTTCTTAGCACGTGAGTCCCTCTATGTTGGTGATGCAGCATACTCTGCCTTGATGGGCGCAACACCCTTGACCCGCTTGAAAGAAGTGTCAGTAGCACCCTCAGATTCCGGGGTGCTCGTTCTAGCTCTCTTCTTTGGACTCGAGGGCGCCTCGAATTTTACATCAACCATGCCATTGCCACCATTTATGCCGTTGGAATCGGGTGCGACGCCGCCGTCGGTTGGCTGGTGGGCAGGTTCGACCCCATTTCCATTGCTAGTAGACATTTTGTGGCGCAACGAGAAGCAGGTTCTTGATATGTTGTTGGCGTTGGCGCTCAATAGAGAAAAGCACTCGCTCAAAAAGTGAGTGCAAATACGGCCACAAGAGGCTAGACCGGCGGCGGCCCAAGCGCTAGTGAGCAAGCCGGGACTGTGACGTAGAGCTTCATAACTAGGCACCCTGCGGCTCCTACATCAGATTCGCGTCGCCAGTTCCCACTTTCCCATCATCTCTCCTCCAATCCTCTTAAACCCTCGATCTCTTCATCACATCCCTTCTGGTTGCTGCGTTTGTTTGCAAATCAGCTCTTCTCAGCTTCATTGTTGGTTCCGGTCAACCCCGCTCCCACACAAACACCAGTTCGCGTCGTGCGAATATTACCACGTCACCAACAACATGACGCTCTACTACAGTCTGGTAAGCTATCCTCTCACTTCAATTGCCTCCTTTCCTAGCACAACGATGCCCTGGCTATCTGGTGTTCGATGCTCGCGTGCTCTGTTCACGTTGCTTTTGGAAACAGAATGTGGCCTGATGCTGACTGCCTCCTGCTTCTAGGTCTTCCTCCTCTTGGTGACAGAGATGCTCATCTTCTGCGCCCTCATTGTCCCCCTGCCGTTCACATGGCGCCGCAGGCTCTTCACCTTCATTTCGGAGAGCCCGATAATAGCGAAATTACAATATGGCATGAAGGTATGTGGTGGTAGTACAGCCTTACACAAGACACGTCTGACATGTGTAGATTACGTTCATCTTCATTCTCATACTGTTCATTGACAGTGTGAACCGCGTCTACCGCGTACAAATTGAGCTTTCCGGCTCAGACGACCAGGGCCGCTCAGGGTAAGTCGACAAACATCTCTGTTATGCTGCAAGACTAACACCTCAAGAAGTGTCGCTGCTGGAGGTATCGAACGCATGGAGGTCCAGGCTCGCAAGTTTTACTCGCAGCGCAACATGTACCTCTGTGGTTTCACCCTCTTCCTTTCGCTCATCCTCAACCGCACTTACGTCATGATCCTCGATGTTCTCCGTCTCGAAGAGGAGGTCAAGAGCCTAAGGGGTGACCCCAAGGCTAACAAGAACTCTGCCCTGAAGAACGCCGGTGGCCCTGGCGAGGTTGGTGCTCTCAGGAAGGAACTCGAGGCCAAGGACCGTGACATGGAGAACCTGAAGAAGCAGGTTGAGAACATGCAGAAGGAGTACAACCGCATGGGCGATGAGGTTGCTGGCAAGAAATAGACGAACATGAGCAATTTCGAACGGATAAGGAGAGCAAGCCACAGCTATGCCGACATGGCGGAACACGCAGGTCGGTACTGACTCCACAAACGTCTGGGAGAAGAATCATCAGTCTATGATTACGGCTGCAAAATTATTGTCGGACAAACAAGGCGCTTTTCGAGGATACACGTTATTACAGTATTGTTGTTTGGGTGCCAGGGCTAGTTAAGGTAGCGGGAAAAGAGCATTAGATCGCTTTTGCTGTTGGCATGGGAATTTGATAGCCATGCATGATGAGCATCTTTTTACTTAATCAATCTTGTTGGTAACACGGCGAAGCTTCCTGCAAGAGTGCATTTGGTGTTGACGATGGTGGGGGTTTTCTTTTTATCCCTTTTGCCCACTCACTTAACCCAAAGATCCGGAAAGGCCGTACTCGTTAAGCAAAGGATATTATCAAGGTGACTGTACCAAACCTATCTAATCTATGCCGAGATTGTTTGCAGGTTCGTGGTTTTCGCTCCTGTCTGGGAGTAAGCTTCTTCTGCGACATTTCCATCACTAATTGGTACTGCTGCGTCTCCGCCTATGCAGTCCTACAAGAGCCGCCTTAACACCCTATTCTGCATGGTCAATCGATCTCTATATGAGCTGATATCTAACTGCTCCTTATATATCTAACAAACTTTCTACGCTGTCCGGCTGCAGCAGGCGACACTTAACAGTGTCGTTAGCTGGCGCAAGTGCCACACCTGGTTTTATTGTCGTAAGTCTTTAGATAGCTTACAAAGTAAGGTTATTGATCCTTGCGCTGAGTGCTTTTCGTGTTGCAAAGGGCAACGGCTGTTTTACTCTCTGTACTGTAGATAACCGGAAAAGAATTCGGCCATTTGGTACGGGCTTATTCGGTGGCGTATTTAGATGCTGCTTTTGCCTGAGTAGGTTCATAGATATGGCTGGACTCAAGAGAGTGCTATATCAAGGGTATTTCTGTATGTAACAAAATTTCATTCGACAGGGAGCTCTACCAAAGGGTGTCTGGCGCGTTACAACTGGTCCCCCTTCAATTCCATACAAAAACATCCGTAATACCATAAATAAGGCTCGCGTCCAGGCAGCATCCAGGTCCATTCCAGTTGGGGTTGCGGGCGTTTGTAGATGGAAGTAGGACGTCGTACTTATCATTCCCTTTGGCTATTTGCATAACACAGGCATTGCCTTCTCCAAAATCGTACGTAACTAAGCCGCTATCCCAGATGTTGATCTTGTAGTAAGTTGTCTCGACTTCCCAGTCCCAATGAGCGTCGCCTGGGTTGCCTTGCTCTACTCCAGGCTGTCCACGTGGATTTTTGCCCACTCTGTGAATCCTGCCCTTGCACTCTTTGTCGTCAAATTCTCCGACTGATCCAAACGAGCATAGTTCGAAGTTGCACTCTGAAAGAGCTACAGAAAGCATCGAAGCAAATGCCAGTACTTGGACAGTAGTCTTCATTATCTTGGATATGCGAAGGTGATAAGATAGTGATGAAGATTTTTTAAAAGATAATGTGATGCTCTAGGCAATAAGATAGTTAATTGATGTCTGGTGCGGTGTAAAAATGAGATTGTGATCGGTAGGGCAACAGGCGGTCTTATGTAGCTGTCTTGCAATCAATTGCCGTTAGATCTCATGATATACGTTTGCTCACTCATCCATCCGTACCGCTATTCCTTGCAAACGCTAAATACCACCTCGTATCAACAAATCATTATAGTTCGGACATAACTATAATCTTGCCGTTGAATAGAGTGGAAGGCTTTTGCCGACGTATCTGTCCAATCAGTACTCCTCTCAAAGCCTCGGGGTCTTTTCATTTGCAGCTCCGTTTCCGTTTGCTAGGCCTGATCAGGATTTCCTTTTCTGAATAAAGATGGGAACGGGATTGAGTTGAGCAAAACAAAGTTTTCAAAAACAGAAACGGAGACTCAATTTATCGGCGCTACCATACAAAGATTTTAGTGCTTAGTACCTGACCCGCATACTCTTATTTTTGAGCGATATTGAGCTCCGTTCAGGACTGGTATCCAAGGTGACGTTCCATGTTGAAACCACCAAAGCTATCGTGGTAGCGTTGGCTGGTGTTGTAAATGGCATGGCCCAGGCTACTACAGCCAATACCTACTCGTCCTGCTGCATCAGAGAATCCCTTGGCTACGCACGGACTGTTCTTTTCCCCTGATCTTGCAGCTGTCAGAATTATGAACCTTGTTAATAATAGTACGTAATGCGCCCGAATGCATCTCATGCCCCGCCAAACACCAACGCGTGTCTCCACACCATAGCTCAATTTGTCTCTGAAATTGGTGCAGGAGTCCGAAAAGGAGAAGATAAAATGAGAAAGCTTATTCAGCACTAAAACTTGAAAATAAAAGCCCCTTCCTACGAAACGTGGTGTTAAAAGGAGTAAGTTTAAAGTACTGAAATGTCTTCAGAACTCGGATGTTACTTTTAGTGGTAGAGGTGGAGAGATTCGAACTCTTAGCCTTGCGAATTCTTTGGCATCGTTGTAAAAGAATTTTTGGGATTCGAAGAAAACCCAATGCGCCGCCCCTCCCTATCAATCTATGGAGAGCAAGAACCATTCTTCTTCACCGTCTTCAAGGCAAGTTTCTTCAACGTCACCATATTCCTCATCTTCAGCAAAGTACCTTGCATCCTTCAAGTTAACCTCCTCGATAATGACCGATCTCTCCCCTGCCTGTTCGTCGTGATTCATGAAACCCCCTTCGCCTGCCTCTTGAGACTTGACCTCTAAATCCTGCTCACCAAGCCACCTCCAACTCTCTTTTTTAATAATATGTAGTCGATATGCGAGGATTGTATCACCTTTGACAGTGTAATTTTCGAGGTCTTCGCCTCCTTTCTCCGCCTCGAGGCTACCTCCGACTGACGCCTCATTCGCAACGCGACCCTGTGCTTCTAGGCTGCCTCCTTTATTCGTCATGCGTATGTTAGAGTATCTCAGTCCTTTGGCAATCTTCAGCCCAGTAGCTACATACACTGGACCACGATTCAGAGCTCCCCTCACTTCTGCATCATCATCGCGAAGTCTCTTGGCATCCGCTCGCGTCGGATTCTTTTGAAGGTACAGGGATTCGATTTCATCAAACTCGTACTTGGTTTGAAGAGATTTTTTTGATCTTGCTTCAGCTTGGCCACCAAAAAGTTCATAGATTTTAGCAGACAAGCTTAATTTGACCGATGAATGGCCTTCGTGCGTCTTCTTGCCCTTGTCATAGCCTGGGCCCTTGATAATTGTCGGCATCGGATGAAGCATGGAGATAGGATCCTGTGGATTCTTCATATCGGTAATGATATTACCAATCTGTATCGGTCCCTCAAGGTTGTACTCAACATCCGGCGATTTGAAGAAAAACTTTCTCCCTTCCTGAAAGCCTGACATTTTCTAGGCACTTGCTCTAGGGAACAGAATGTGTTTCAAAACGCGTCTGTAGGGTCGAAGGGTTGTTTGGAGTAACAGCCGATGCAGTGAGAAAAGATCTTACGTTCGTGTTTTGGCTTCAAAGCTTGATATCTACGCTTTCAAACATATAGATGGGTCAGAAGACGCAAGCTGAAGATGTATTGCTAAGCTATGCAGCCTGACGTGGCAAGCGGGGTTGCATCGTGTACTAATATGGCAGCCTTGGCCCAGCGCTTTGGAAGCATGCGTTGATGATGTAAATGACAGTCATCATTCTGCTCCATATTGAATGGCTACTGTATTCGAGATTTGGAGCAGACACTAGTCATAAGGCTCTTGAGATGATCCAAGTCATTGTACACATTCTCAAGAGTCAGAAACCGTTTCTGTGTTTCGGGCCTTGTCGCAATCTCGTCCAATAGCTTCTCAAATCCTGCTTTCTGCTTCAGATATTGCCATTGACCTGTGGTATCACAGTTGTTGACATATGCAATGATGAGAGCGGCAATACCGGCTGCTATAGCCGTCGCTGGAGAAGTGCCGTTTCGTGCAATGAGTGCTTCCTTTTTTCCTCTTTGTGCCGTTGGAACATTTTTTCCAAGGGTACCATACACCTCAATTCCAACCTTTGCAGGGAGTGAAGCATTGAAGCTGCAATGTTGCCCTTCATGGTCTGTCGCACGGATTGAGAAGACTTCAGGAAGTCTTGCTGGAAACAGCTCATGTTTGCCTGCTCCAAAATTCGAAGCAGAAGCAAAGAAAAGGATGTTTTCATCACGAGCATGTTTGGCGTAGGCAATAGCACTTGTCACAGCACAGCGATCAGTATCGTGGTTCACCTGGACCCATCCAAGAGATGCCGAAACAATATCAGCCTTATGCTCATCTACCGCCCATCTTATCGCCTAAGTAACAAAGAGGTTAGTGTGGATTACATTTCTATAGCATGGAGTAATCTTAGACTTACATCTGCCAGGCGTTTCCGGCTCGAACTTGATTGATTGCCTTGCAGGTCTTGATCCATACGTGCTATTCGCGCCACACATATATCTGCGAATGGGGCAAGTCGCATAAGCAGAGAGAGCATGGATGTACCATGTCCATCTGCATCCAATGGTTTGACAGCGTTTTCTTCGCAGAAGTCTTTCCAATGGTACTGCGGATGGTTGGATAGACGATTGCTATGATATCTCCTGCGAAGGAAGGCGGCTTCAGGATCGTAGCCAGTATCTATGAGAGCGATTTTTAGTCTTGCTTTATCCGTCCTTTTGTACTCCCTTTGCAACTCTCTATACAGGTTCGAATCTGTGATCTTGGTTATCCAATTCTCGGACTGTTGGCTAGGTGAAATCAGCTTCATCTTGTGCTTGAGGAATATACAATTTACCTGGGATCTTTTTGGATACTATCCATTCCTTCGGTGTCCTCTCTACTGCCCTGAAGTCCCCCTTCCCTTCTGATAGAATTTCATTCTCGAAAGGATCTTGCATACTTTGCAAGAGGTTGAACAAAGGACGCGTGACCTTATCGAACAACATCTGACGTCGCTCAGCTAAGTTGATACGAATATTTTCCTTAGATTCAGGCACGCAATACCGCACCGCATTCCTATAAATTTCCTTGACTTGTTCTGAAGAGTCGAAATGAGGCCATTTTTTGTCTTTCAGCTGACTCTTGCAGAAGGAGTATTCAGAGTTTAATGTGTTCAGTGCCCTGCCTGCAGCACCACCTTTCGTACCCAGAAGCACTAGCATGAGCCCCAAATTTAGTATATGCGGATATGGGTGCCATAATCTCTTCTGCATGGTCGGGTAAGACGGATCCAATTCTTGGGTTTCAGATAGTCTTGGTTTCTCTGAGGTCCCTGTATTGATTGATAGGAAGGGTGTTTTTGCCTCAACATTTAGTGAGTTGTGTCCAGGAGTTTGAGGCAGTAAAACGATCGTCTCAAGATTCCACACACAATGCATCCAGTTCGATGAGTAAAACTGCCAAAAGTACTTTGCCAAAGTGAAGGCTAGCAAGATCTTGCTCTTCACAGAGATCATGTTGTCCTGGATGGCCCTCAACAAGGAAATTGGATCTAGGCTATCGCCTGGTGATCCATCAATATGGACTGGACTGAGCTGGTAGAAGCTATAGTCTTGCTTTCCTATTTCTAGCTGCACAGGTATAGCAAGATCGAACGTGTCGTCATCAAGAAGTGCGCATATATCGTTCAGAATTTCTGCATGTACGTCCGGGTCTTTCATGCTGTCTATTTCCAAGTCCAAACCTTTTGACGTTTCTGTATTTCTGTCCTTTGGGGCGTGTACAAGACTGTCTTTCCGATCACGAGTCTTCAAAGTAACTTTTGTGTCTTTCCTGCAGCCATTAAGCTTAGCAAAGCTGATCTAATTCGGAGCAAGAAATTGTACCTAGGGATCCGAAATTGAATCTTCTTCCAATCATAACTGCTATCGATGGCGAGAACTGACTCGAAGAAATAGTGGCTAGAGTTTCCGGCACTATCCCAACTACCGTTTAACCTCAAAACACATGCATGTTGTTTCATCAAATCAAATGGCTCTTTTGGATGTGTGCAGTTGCATGGTAGTAGTGCACTCTCGTAAAAGACTTTGTGCAGGGCATCTGTTGTCGTGTACGAATACTGTTCAGGCTCAAGCCTTTGTGTGATGCTAGTCTCATTGGCCGCGATGGCCGCACTTCCTTCTGCGTCCTTCTTCGCAAGATCTGCTTCGACATCAGCTGTGAACTTCGGATCGAAGGCGCTATGGATGGTTTCGAGATCTTCTGGGAGGGGTTTGACATCAAGTCGTGGAAGTTTCGGTTTCTTAGATCGAAAGTCGCTCCGGGCTATGGTCCTCCAACTTAAATATTTGATCCCTTCAGTTAAATTTTGCAAAGCCTGCCGAGGTTGGTTCTGTGAAAGGCATGACATGGAAGCATCTGCATATGCGTCGACGGCAACATCCGATTGTTTCTCAATCATAGTCCAAGAACTAACAAGATCATCAGGATCCATGATGATGATGATGCTGATCAAGATAGTTGGGTATCTGCGATTGCTGAGAAGATGTTGTGTTGTTGCCGTCGCCCAAGCAGGCAGCAAGTTGACCTAGCCTGCGGCTGAATGCATAGGCCGGACGGGATCGCCCCGCGTTTTTGGCCCCATTCCACTGATTTGCTACCTCACAGCCCTTGCACCTCCTCATCAATAAAAATTGGACACACCCGTGCTCACAGAACGAACACCAAAGTTTATGTTACAACTTCAAACGCAGATATTTCTACAACCACAACAGATATTAACATAATTTTTCAATATTTATATCGTAGTACTACATTAGTATAGTACCATGAAGAAAGGTGTTGATAATATTAAAACCTGCTCTTTATGCTGTTCTGTAGTGTACTGCTACCTGGCACTAGCCCTAAAGTAGCTTAATGCGAGGGTGTCTAATCTTTATTGATGAGGAGGTGCTTGGGTAACTTTGTGAGCTCGACCTTGAGAACAAACTAAACTTTTGAACACCACCGCTCTCGGAATTGGGCTGCTCAAAATTCAATTTCATGGACGTTAACGTGGACCATCCTCGCCCGATAGTTACTATATTCAGCATCACCCAGGACTGTCGCCACCTGCTACAACGATGTGCACGTGATGAACAGCTTACTGGAATACATTGGGCTCAGAACCGCTTGAGCGACTTCAATCTATGGGATGCGGGCGTTGGTGCGAGCGCAAAAGAGCAACACTCACTTGAAACCCGTCTGCGCGACGATGATGCAGCAACAAAATTTGTCATTAGTTCTCTCAGTACCTTGAGAACGTGGTTGGAGATATATTGTGAAAGTGTCGATGAGCCAAGACAAGATTGTGGCGTCCTGAGCAGCTCGACAGTGCCAGAATCCAACGCAAGGTGCTATGAAAATATCTCCGAAGATGAAGCCAAGGATAGCATTGAGCAATTGTTCCAAGTCCTTGCTAAACTAGGCGTAGCCATACGTCAAGCAGGTGCTGCATCTCACCTAAAAAATGCCGATAGTGGGTTTCATAAACGCAGAGAAGAGTACAGGGACTTTGAGGCAGAAATGGTGTCAATTCTTATCTGGAAGAAGATCCGACATATGCTCGCCGAAGGTCTAGAAGTATCTGGGGTACAGCAGAAATACGACGAAATGCAGAAGGAAATGAAGAAGCAGATCGAAGAGGACAGAGTGCCGTATGAAACACAGGCTGTGATCGAGGCGAATGCCAGGCGTCGGCATAGATTTGCGTTCGCGGTCAAGCGCGCCGACAAACTGATGAAACCATCGATGATAGAAGAAAAGAAAATTGTTTCGAGACCAAAAGGTGCAATGACTTTAGAGTCCGTTACACTCAAGGATGACTCAACACCACATGGCACGGTTCATCAGAAGCACACATCATCCGGAATTCAGTCAAATGCTGTATCTGCACAGCAGTCTACACTTCAGTCAGAATATTCAAAAAGCAGCACAGCCAAGTTGTCGACTCATAAGCCTGACAACCAAATCTCAGAACTCCTAGAAAACGATCGACCATTAGCACCGCCAACAGTAACAACCTCGAAGGTGGACTATCCAAGTGCCCCGAAGTTGAACCCGAATGCGAACCTATTTACCTGCCCGTATTGCCGAATAACGATTCCAAAGGCTATGGCGCAAGGTTCGAGATGGGTGTAAGTTGCCAATCGCTTGACAATGTCATTGACTAATACTATCAGGAAACATGTTTCAGATGATTTGAGGCCCTACACTTGTTATTTGCCGAGATGTCCAGAAGTCCAGCCGCTCTTTGCTACTTTTCAAGCATGGAAAATACATGTCTTTTCTGGGCATAAAAGTCTTCCTAAATGGGAATGCATGCTTTGTGACCCTGCGGATATATTTTCAGACAAGGACTCGTTTACCAAACACGCTCAACTGTGTCACAGTGACGAACTCGAAGGAGAAAGCGTCGACGATTTGGTAGAAGCATGTGAGTTTGTGGAAGAACCGATCTTGGATAAATGTCCAATATGCTCCATACACGAAGATACCTGGTTGAAGAAAAGAGCTTCATACCAACATTTCGATTTGCGGAACTCGACGTTCATCGAACACATCGGGGCTTGCATACACGAATTTTCTCTACTAGCTTTACCGACGTCTGCCATTGAGGACGCAGTGAAGGAAAGGAGTGCAGCTCCGACAGGTGCCTCAAACCTTGATAGTCGCTCATCATTGAGCTCGCTTACCTTTTCCGATCGTGGACAGGACTATCCTGGGTTTGATGAAGTCGATAAGTCGCGTCTCGACAAGCTTGAGCTACTGCCTCGGGAAAGGATAAACAGCTGGTTTACCAACCTAGGGGCGGCAGGTGGACCATTTGAGTCTTCATTAGATGATTTTCCTCTCCTTAGCGACCACGACACCGACGAAGACGAAGATGAAGACGAAGACGAAGACGAAAATTCACTATTGGCCCTTGTTTTTGATAGGCTCGTGAAAAGCGCTTTTGAAAGCACTCCTTTCAGATTCTTGCCAGAAGGTGTCATCCACGACCTCATTACAGAAGGCATTATCCGAAAGACTTTACACGTAACAGAACCCCCGTCAGAGGAAGATGATGATATGATAAACTTCATCAAAACGAGGGCTAAGAAGACTTTTGCTATTGTGGGACTTATACGTCAAGTCGATACCAGAAGAGTTATAAAGTTGCTAGAAAGTAAAGGTATTGATGACTCCAGACTCCCTATCAAATACCTTGGGGAGCTAGGGCGACGCCCCTGGGTAGTAGACTTCTATTATCATCAGTGGAAGTTCTTTGCTCCTATCTTTTCGACCCATAATTGTCCCAACGATCTAGCGGAATATGATATCCTGCCTTTTGTATCCAGAAATGAAGGATTCAAAAAACACTCGTTTGGGCTAGTCTTGCAGTATTTTCTTCATCGGAATCATATGGTCCCTGTAAGTGGTTATAACAGAGTTGAATTGCCAAAGGGCGGATTACTAATATCAACAGGCACTTTTGGAAGACACTCCATTCGCTGTGAAAGAGATAAAGGAAATGGAGGATGCGCCAGTCACAGAATTCTGGCAAAAGAAAGTTGAAGCCTTCCGGAATTTGAATCGACTAAACCAGGAGCATATTGTTCGGTTTGTTACAGCTTTTAGGCATCAAACAAGCGATGGTAAAGCGAAATTTTTTCTAATGTTCGAATGGGCAGACGGCGGAAATCTCTTTGACCTATGGCAAAGAATGCCATCACCTATTCTAGCAGCAAGACTTGTCAAAGATGTCATTCAACAGATCCTTGGGCTTGCTAAAGCCCTAGAAGCTGCTCATAGCTTAAATAAGACCGGGGTTTCATATCGACATGGGCATATAAACTCGAGAGATATCCTTGTTTTCCATAATAACCGAGGACTGATAGGCACGTGGAAGTTTGATGGCTGGGGCGAGGCAAGGAAACACGATGGGGTCGTAGAAATGCGCCCTATCGAAACACGAATGAGACATGGCATCCAACGCTACGAAGCTCCAGAGGCAGTAATAGGACTTAGGTCTCACTTTTTCGACGACGCAGTAAGTCCTTCTCGACGAAGTGATATATGGTCTATAGGCTGTGTTATCCTAGAGATTATTATTTGGCTCTTATATGGGGAGTACGGAGTTGATCAGTTCCAAAGAGACTTGGAGCACAGCTGCTTCTATCAGATCTCTGAAATTGATGGACGAAGGCTTGCTAGGGTACATGACGTTGTGGAGCGTTGGATGAATCAAATGGAGAAAGACCCTAGGTGTAAGGTTGACACTACGGCTATCGGGGATCTTTTGGAGATTGTGCGAACAGGTTTACTCGTTGTGAAGCTTCCACTCAGGCTCAGGCAGTTCAGATCGAATTCACCTCCAAGGAACATCGGAGACTTTGTTTCTGTCTCTTCGAATACAGAAATCACTGATATAGCTTCTAGCGGGCTGGTTGTTGAAGGAGATACCATGGCCAATGCAGAGCTACCAGTATTCAAGCTCACCCCAGCGGAACCCGAGAACCTCGAGACTCTTTTAGAGCCTCCACGTGTGATTGGACAAGAAGCTAGATTTCGTTCGACTGAATTCCGCCAACGACTCGAGTACATCATTCAAGAGAACGAAAACGAGGCCTACTGGTGTATTGATGAACCACAACAATGAATACCAGAAGGCCTCTCTCTACAAGATTTTGGATCTACTTCTGCTACGATATATCACGGCAATGTTCATAGTAGTCCTGGCGACTTGATTAAGTTGATTATTCCATCTACACCGGAATTCTACAATGATGATGGAAGTTGTGTTAGCGAGGCAGCATGAAACTAGGCGCAGATACGATGAGAGTCTGCGCAACCTGCCTAACAAGACGTAGATGCACTCAAAAAAAATTCTCGAGAATTTATATTGTGTAGATATCTACAACGATACTGTGAAGGAGGCTGCAGAGCACGCCTTTGTTGGCCTAGTAGCTAGTTATACCACTTAACCCGCGCAAAAAAGGTAAAAACATAGAGCAAAAACATACAACAGCGGGGATTCGCCAGTGGTCACCCACCTGACTACTAGTCCGCCGGTCGAAGGCTTAATGTCTGGGGAGCGAACGGGACCCAATGCTGTACTTCGCCGATGGTCGTATGTGCCAGAAAAAAACGGATAGGTATATTATATTGGGGAGCTTTATGATTTTTCGGGTGTGGGAAACAACCAATCTCCGCCAAGACCAGCTCACAGCTAGCTCTTACAACTAGCCACTGCACTGCCACTTCTCACACTGCTACGCATATACACCAATGTATTAGTCACGTATACAAGTGTTTGTAGACGGTGCGGAGTTCATTCCTCGCAAACATGCATAAGAGGCATGTGAAACTGCGCATGGCCGTTGGTAACATTCCGAGGTACATGTAGACCGTGGACCTAAGCTTCACAGCTGCTCGAAAGTAATCCATGGTTACTCTTCCCGTGCATTCTTACAACACGATTTCCCCTCGTTTCTGTCATTTCTGTCAGACGCAGCCAAGATGTCAGAAAGCCAGCAATTGTTTTCCCGTTTCGTCAATTATCCGACCCCCAAACCTTACGACGTGCCGTACCAAGCCCCACCTCCAGGAAAGAACCCAGTGATCAAAGGGCCATTGCTGCACTACCTCGCCAATCTGTGAGCTTCTACCTCCTGTCAATTCCTCCGGCGCACCGACTGACCCGTCCAGCGTTGCGACCGTACCTCTGGTGCCCGGAATCCTCTGGAGCAATGCTGGCTTCAATACCCTGCGGCAATGCCGACAACTCGACGGCGTCGATGCGCGTTATGACCCAACCGTGATTCCGCTGTCTCAACCAGACGACGAAGCTCCAGCGAGCTACACAGACAAGTCGAACCTTCGCACACCATTGGACCACGCGTCGTCTAGCCGCTTTTATTCGGTCAAAGATTTCCACGACGGATACTCGAATGGCGCATTCACACCGTCGGACGTCATCGAACGCTTGCTGCCGCTCATCCGCAGAGATGTCGCGCAGCGCTCGCCGTATTCGACAGCGTTCATGGAAACCAAGGTGGATCTTGTCAGGCAAGCCGCTGAAGCCTCTACACAGCGATATAAAGAAGGAAAGCCACTGGGAATACTAGATGGTGTACCGTTTGGCGTCAAGGACGACCTGCGAGTGAAGGACTACAAGCACTATGTCGGCACAACGCATGACTACAGCAATGGCGGCAACAAGGAAACCAGCTGGTGCGCAAAGATGTTGGAGAAAGAAGGTGCCATCTTAGTCGGGACGCTCACAATGCACGAACTGGGCATGGGTATGAGGCATTCCTTTAGTTATGATATAAGCAATTGGCTAAACAACCACAGATACAACCAACAACAACCCTCATTGGGGTACACCACGAAACCCATACAACAGCTCCTACTACCCCGGCGGCTCCTCAGGCGGCGCCGCATCAGCCGTAGGCCACGGCCTGATACCCTTTGCCATAGGCTCCGACGGCGGCGGCTCCGTCCGCATCCCCAGCAACTACTGCGGCGTCTACGGCCTGAAGCCCTCACACTCGCGCGTATCCATCGCCCCAATGCCCAACTCCGGGAAATCCGTAACCGTACGCGGACCCCTCGCAAGCACCATGTCCGACCTGGAGCTTTCCTACCGCGTGCTCGCCCAACCAGATCCATCAACCTATCCCTCATCGCTCTTCGCTCCACCACGCAAGTTCTCAGCCCAGCGCAATAAAGTGCTAGGCGTACACAAACAATGGATCGACCGCTCCGACCCCATAGTCCAAGACTCGTTCTATCAAGCCCTCAAATACTTTGAACACGAACTCGGTTACAAAGTCATCGACATATCCATCCCCCTACTCACCCCCGGTCAACTCGCCCACGCAATGACCATCATGGCCGAAGGCGCAGCCGCCCACCGCTCCTCCATCTACGCCCTCACCCCCGCAAACCGCATCCTCATGAGCGTCGGACGTCAAACTCCTGCTACTGACTTTTTACTTGCCCAACGCCTCCGCAACCTCATCATGCAGCATCTCGCCGACCTCTTTCGCAGCCACCCAGGCCTCGTGATTGTTACGCCTACAACGCCGAATGCGGGGTGGCCAATCGATGAGGCAGAGCTCTCGCATGGCGTTACGAATGGCAATATGCAGATTCGCAATATGGAGTATGTGTGGTTGGCGAATTTTACCGGTGTGCCGTGTATTCAATTTCCGGTCAATTATGTGCAGGGTGTCAAGGGAGAGGGGCTGGTGCCGATTGGGTTGAGTGGACATGGGGAGTGGGGGAGTGAGGATGCGCTGATTGAGTTTGGGTTTGATGGCGAGAAGTGGTTGCATGAGGGGAGGGAGGGGGGAAGAGCCATGCCTGAGGCGTGGGTTGATGTGTTGAAGTTTTGATTGATATCTAGGTGGCTATATAACGTAGCATTGTGATCTGATGAATTCTTTTTTCTTTGGCAAGTAGATACGATATTCACACTACCTCAATGGCCTTCCATCCGTCACCTCGCCATAGGGGGGATTCTCGTATTCGCCAAAGCATGCAAAGTCGTAGTCGGCAAGCTCAATCTGCTTCTGCATGACCTTGAGAAACGTCTCCATTTCACACCATCCGTCGTCTCGCTGTCCACACTCGGCGTGGCTCTTGCCTAGTGGAATGGTGCGCTGGTTGAGGATAAAATGCACGTAGCTCGTTGGCTCGCCGTCGAGATAAATGTCGTCTTGATTCCGCTTGGGGTTGACAGGTGCAGGCGCACGAATGACTTCAATATCCAAACGCCCGGCAAATGGCTGCAGGTGTGAGAGGATGAATTCACGGTCGTGCTTGATATGTGTGGTGGGCAGCTTGTCGTTGAATTGGCGGAGGCCGAAAGCGACGAGGATGCTTAGGATACCGGCGTCGTGGCTAAAGTCCAGGTTGAGTGCTTGATCAATGGGGAATGTGACGGTGTTGTTGTCGAGCGTAACGTTGATTTGGGCAGAGGGTGAGGTTAGGACGTGGTGTTGCATGCGGGCAAGGACTTCTTCAACGTAGCCTGTGGCACATGGCAGTTAGTATCATGAAGAAGGCTGTTACTGTTTTATTCAAAGTAGCAACTTACCAATACCAATGGCACGACCAACAGGCGAAGCAAAGCCCGTGCCGGCTTGAAAGGTTATGTCAAGCGCATATTCGAAACCTTGCCATTCTTCGTAGGTGAAGAGGCCGCACCAGTGGGAGAATCCTAGAGAAACGGTTTCGTACGAACAGAGGGCTTGAGCATTGTCTGCAAAGTATCAGTTCAGAATCTCCAAAAGGGATTGATATTCCAAAGCATACATGTATCACTCAAAGTCCAGTCGAGATCACCAGTAATGTTGCTTCTGATCCTTTGATGGGCATCGTGGAGGTACACACCCACCCAATCCATGAATGCTACGATCAATCAGTCTCAGTCAAATCTCATGGGTCCAGTTGTATTACCATCCTTGGCTACTTGCCAGTTTGTATGATTACATTGCTTGTAACCAGCCAGCGTATTGTTGAACCCTGGCGCTTCAATGGCAAGCTCCAGTGTTGCATTCTGCGTCCATTGCAGGCCAAAGAATCCCGCAAGAAAGTATTCGGCTGATTCAGTCATGCGCCGCTGCGTGGTGCTCCGTACTACAATCTTGCTCCCGTTATTTGGGTACAAGTGGCCGTACTGATAGTAGTGCAATGTGCCAGACTGAAACAGCTCATATTTGCCATTTGGAACCAGAATTTCAGCACCAAGCAGAAACTTCCAATCGTTTAGGAACGAGAGAGGGCCATGGGCGGTAAATTTCCCAGCTGCATCTGTGAGCTTCTTTCCCAAAGTCCGTTCGGCCGCTTCACCACTAACTTCGGGATAGCGACTGCCGTGGCGATGGACCATGTTGAGCCATGTTACATTGGCACCAGGCGGAATTGAATACTCATTAACCCCGAACCCGCGGGGATTGGGAAAGTAAGGGCTGATGTTTGCCAAGCTTTGGAAGATATTCTTATTATCTGGATTTCCTGGAATAGGCATTTGGGTTTCCAATGGCGTATTTGGTATGTACGACACACCGGCAAAGGGCGCTAGGTTTGTCTGTGCAAGAAACGGGGCGGCACCCGTCTGGGTTGGGCCTTGAAAATGACCATCGTCGGTTACAAAGTAGTCGGGGATGCCAGACGTCTTTGTTGTTGGCGTGGCTGCTGTCTTCATCAGCTGCCATTTCCATCAGCCGAGCAATCACCATGGCACTAACGCTTTACATCTTGTTCACCATGGATGGGAATTTGGGCTGCATGGCCACCATCTTGTAAAAGTCAGCAACTCTACTCAAATACAACCAATTTGCATTGAAATGGTTCAAGAGCAAGACACGTTCAAGAACGCAATGTACGCACTTAGGCTGGCCGGATATAACGAGTTGAGCAGCTGCAGTGAGAGCTCCAGAATGCCGTGCATGGTGGGGTCGGTAGCCGCAAGCTCTTAGTGGACACGGGAGAGGCGGGTGGGTAACGTGACTTTGAGCGGCGAAAGTAGTGTGAAAAATCAAATAGTACGTAGTTGGGCGCAGATGACGGCTTGCACATGCACACGTCGCTACCGCTGCTGCAGTCGTCAAGGCCTCCGTCTCTCAACAGACAGAGAGCAGCTTGAGCTTGGACCATGTGTCGCGGATTTCTCGTGACGCAATCCCGTGGGCAGTCCAGCATGGTATGCCAGACCCATGCTGAGAACCGCCTCAGGATGCGACGGCCGAAGTTTGAAAGCGCCATACACGGGAACGAAGCGACTTGGAGTAAGATGGGTACTCGAGAAGGTCTCCTACGGCGATGCTTACCATAGATCCGGGTTGCCGAGCCCGTTGCAGATACGAGCCCATTGTTGCGGTACCTGACCGGGATGTTGGACTACGTATTGTGGCTGCCGTCCATCACAGTAGTAGTGCTCAAGCGATAGAAGGTAACTTGATGGTAGTGCTGTTTACTTGCACGAACATGGCACTAGACGCCTTGTAGCGCAATTGCACATGCGAGTGACCATCTCTAGCGAGAGACCTGCCACGATCGAAGAAAAACGAGCATGGCACAAGGCAACTCAGCACAATTGCTCGCTGTATATGTACGCATACAGGCATATCGTACACATGTGCTTGTTGGGATGTGAAGCTTTGTCGATTTCAGATTTGCACCGACCTGTAGGTGGACATGGATTGTCTTCCCGCTGTCCACTTTAAATAGTAGTCTACCACGCGGCAAAGAAAAAAATCTGCGTTGTGTGGCCAAGACTTGAGTGGGCATGCCGACGGCAATCTCCCGGACAAGCCTGAACAACTCACAGGTTTCAAGACGGCTTGTTGGGCGATGCAGATGGATGATTCAGGTTGGTCGGTGGGGGGATTGAGCAGTGTCCATGTGACTACTATACTATCGTGGTGCAATGCAGGGTCCGATGGAGTCAGAAGGTGACCCGTCTTGGCCAGCAGAGCTGTGCAAAGCTCATTTTGGGCAGGTGCTTCACACGTATTAGACACCAAAGGGGCCAAAAAGAGGTACATGCATCTTCAGCTCCACTGGTGAGATGTGTTGGCAACGGCGTTGCATACATGGACATGTATGTGTATGTATATATATGGAGGAGCTGCTGGCAAGGTGGAGAGTCGGACGGACCAACTTGATGACTCTTGTCGTGACGTTGTCGAGTTGGAAGAGTGTCCGAGAGACACTGGGAGAGGGCGGGTAGGTAGCAAGCACACGAGAGGACAGAAGCTTTCCAAGCGGTTGAAGCTAAGAGAGTGATACGCCCGGCCAAGTGAATGCGGAGGAGGGCCACAGTTGGTATAAGGTGGAGGGCTATAGGGGACGCGTAGTCGCCGGTGGTTCTGCGGTGCTTTGTATCCAAGTCTTGGGACCTGTCGTAATGCCATCTCGACATGCATGACTTGCAGCACGACAGGTCAGTTACGGCTTTGGTCGCCGTTAATCTGCAACAGTGGCAGCAACAGCGGCATCCCAAGACAGCATTGGCGATGCAGCCCTACCGGAGATATTGTCCAATGACTCCACAGCCAATGGCACGGCGGCACTTGAGGGGCTAGTGGTTGGCTTGGAGGAGTAGATTAGTTGCTCTATTGGGTAAATTCGATAATTTCAGGTGTTTTGAGAGTTGCGTGATTGCAAGCTCCAACCCGCCGTCGGGCCGACTGTGGTGTCGGGGTTGTTGGTGGTGGTGGTGGGAAGAAGCCGGATAGCGCGATTGCATGAATCAAAGCCGGTGTGCTAAAGAACCACCGAAGAACGAAAAGTGGGCACTGCTAGGCACATGCCGGACCAACGATGGTGCAGAGCGAGCGGGGACGACAGGTTAGCAGCATGCAAACGCATTCAGCAAGAGCGTTAGGCGAAGGGGTCGATTTTGGCTAGTGCGCGTGCTATTTACATTGTAGGTGTGGCGCGCGAAGGGGGGCACAGGCAGGAGCCAAGTTGGGCGTGGGCGTGGGCGTGTGGACGTGGGCATGGGCACGTCACGGGACATGAGTTGTGCGAGCTGCGGGCATAGTTACAGTGGAGCGGCAGAGGGCAATTTGCAAAGCATGTGTGTCGGTGCGTGGGATGGGAGGGAGATCTGTTGGGTCAAGTCCAAAGTATAGGACAGGATGCGACTGTCGTCTGAATGACCCCATACTGATCGTCATTGACTCGATACATACTCGAGGCTTAGGCTGGGGGACAGACGCGTGGTGCAGGTCCAAGGGGTGAGGGGGCGGACCGACTCAAGGGTTGGATATGCAAAGATGGTATCAAAACCGACGGTTACCGAGCATGGTCCAAAGTTGGCGCTAGATGCATGTCAGCCGCTGCTGGTGTTTGCAGTCGTTAGTGACGAATGTATAGTAATCCTACTTACGACTCCAAGGGGCCGTGTTGCCGAACGATGGTCGGGGTAGCAGAAACAGCGGTGACCATGTACATGTGTACATGCTATTAAAGCATCATGTCGGTAAGTGTGTGCAGTAGCATGCACATGTAGTGTTTGCAGCGTTCACTCAGAGTGCGGTAGAGCACGAGTAGAGGGGCTAGTGAGATGCGGATCGCACCGGGGAGGTGGGCCAATCTGCGTGGTGAAACGACCTGTCGACAATGGAAGAGATGGCTAAGCCAGTCAGAAGCGTGGGGAGGGAGGCTTTTTTTGTTTTTTTCCTGACTTCACGTTTGGACGTTGAACGTCATGATCCTAGGGATCGGCAGGCGGGCACAATGAGGGACAATTTGAGGTAAGCGGGCGGGGGGCGGGAAAAGTTCCATCCAGTCAATAGATGGAATGTGCGGCAGTAGTTGGAGCGAGTTGGAGAGCAGATGATTTGGCTTGAGCGGGCGCAGGCTGAATGGAGCAATGGAGGCACAGCGAGCGGTCGGGTCAGCGTCCGGGGTCGGGCAGGCATGGGTTGATCAAACACCAATTTCGTCATTGGCCGTGGCGGCGTGTGCGGAGTCGGGGAGACGGGGCATGTCGGTGATTTTGTACACAGGAGAGGGAAGGGGAGAGGTACACGGACATGTGCAGTGGGTGGTTATGTAAGTCGACTAGTATAGTTACTTGGTATGGTGTAGTGTAGTGTAGCGTAGTGTAGCGTAGTGTAGTAGATGAGTGGTGCGAGGCAGTGCGGAGGAGTGCAGATGTGGCGTCGTCGACTGGCAATGAGGGACGGATTGGTTACGACGGGATTTGGGAGAATGCCATCAAGGGCAAAAGTGGCAGGCAGTTGCAGAGGCCGCCGCAGGGTCCTGAGCCGATCTTGTACACGTCGAGATTGGGCGTGCATGGCCGACAAAACACAGAGTCAACAATGGCGGATCAGCGGGCCAAAGCCAATCAAGCCCGCCGTCGAGTGTGCGCGTGGCCACAACGACCCGCAAATGCCTTGGGGCGAGGAACCGGTGTGGATGAAAAGGACAGTCTGCACGCTGGGTGGGCAGGTGCAGGGCGGTGCAGTGCAGTGCAGTGCAGTGCAGTGCAGTGCTGTATACATGTGTGCGGGTGCCATGTAACGAGTACATAGTAGCACCAGATACGGGGTACCAATGTAGCAATGTACCTATATACATACATACATAGATACTACACCACAGAATCGTCATGGTAGTAGCTAGCAGACAGAGTTTGGGCGGCTAGCGGAACCCATGGCAGCGTTCGGTGGTGATGTCAGCCAGCCGCAAGGGGAAATTGATCGGTGTCGCCCATGTCGGCCGTGTCGTGCACAAGGCTCAGACGACGTCATGGCCCTTTTCTCTCTCTCTCTCTCTCGCCCTCGCCCTCTCCCACCGGCTGCCGTCACCACCACCGCTAAGCCTTTGCGCACCAGCCTCGTCGGGCCCCTCCCAACTGCTGCCAATACTAATGCTAATCCCATTACTACCATACACTACGTACTCCCCGTCTCATCACTTACGCGCATGTCCATATTTACATGCGTCGTCCTGCTGCTGCTGCTGCCACTGGCCACTGACCACTGCCCGTTGCCCAATCCCCTCTCACACCCACTTTACCACTCCCCTACCCCCTCGTGGCCACAGCTGTTCCGCCATCTCATACGCTAATTGACCGCTTCAACTCATCCGACTCCTTGGGGTGGGTGCGCTGCCCCTGCCCTTGTCTTTGAGCTGCCGATCGTCGCACCACCAAGCTGCTGCTATTGCTGCTGGTGCTACGGTTGCTGCTGTGCCAGAGAATCGTCGATAGCAATCAAAAAGCAAATCAACCTCACAGTCCACACGCTACACACTCATAGGCTGCCGCCGCCGCCGTCTCTGCCCCAGGCCTGCGCGACACGCCCGGTCACGAGGCGGGTGCCGTCATCAAGGGCCAGTGCTCCGCCCGCCATTGAGCATTTTGCCGCCGCCGCACCCCCCGGCCTCGAGGTGGACAGGCCGCTGCCATCGCAGGGATTGTCGTCTCGGGAGACCCTGAAGCATCATCGGGTTTAGCTCCTGACCAGGGCTCCACTACTCTAGCATCCTTCCACAGCGACCGTGTGCCTCTGCCTTGGCTTGAACCCACCCACGGCATCCTCTTGCCGGTCCTCGCCCACCCGTCTCCGTCTCCGTCTCTAAACCTACACCTCGAGAGCCGCACTTCGACTGTCCCGTGCAATGATCCCACACATTTCCCTCTCTTCCTACCCGCCTCCTTGCTCCCCGAACGACGCCTCTCTCGCCTACCATCATCATCATCATCACCACCACCACACTCACAGTCAGACCGACACCATGTCGACCTCGTCGTCAAACTCGTCAGTCAGCGAAAAGGACGTGGCTGCCGACCCCACCCTCCAGCCCAGGCCCCGTCTCGGCAGCAGAAAGTCGAGCGGCACCATCATAATACCCCGCGACAGCCCAAATGTCGAAATGAAGGAAGAGGAGGAAGAGTATGATGACGGCGATGCGCGCACAATGAGTCCCCGTCGCAGCAGCGAGGAAATTGAAAAAATGGGTCAGGATGCTCGACAGGCCCTCATAGAGTGAGTCCTTCTCCTCTCCTCCCTCTACCCGCCGCCATCGGCTAACCTGTCCTCGCCAGACAAGCAAAAGCCCTGCAAGCTAGTCTCATGGAAATTGTCGACCGCGTTGAAGTTGTCAAGAGCGAACACGAAAAGCTCGAGGGCGGCAACAAGTTCCTGCAATCGTATGTCGCTCCTTCCTCGCCTACCACGTGGCACTGTATTGACCCACTCTAGATATATTGGCGAACTCATGCAAACAAGCAAGCTCACCTCCGCCGGCGCTGGAAAGGCCACAAAGGTCAAGGGCAAGGGCAAGCCCATCAAATAACAATCAGAGCTCGTCCACACTCACACGCGCCCGGTGAGCCTCTACTGTGTCGGCCTCCCTCCCAATCCTCGACTCATCATGGACTCCACGCGCCTATCCAACCCTCACTACCACGCAATCATGATGGTCTACTGTCTAACATACTGACCACCATGACCGCCCGCCGCGCACATACATCTATCCATCTATCCTTCCAATACACACGACACTCACATGTTGACCGCGTTTACGAGCATCTGCATAGCGGTACAGGCCTGGGAATCGGCGTTCATCATCATCGTCATCATCGTTCCAACTTTCCATTCAGCCTACAGCTTCTGTCTTACCACCTTACGACAATAATCTCGACTGGGCTCTTGCTTGGCCTGTTGCTTTGTCGCTCAACTTGATTTCTTTTCTGCGCATATACCACGGCACAATTGCACCCGCTATATCTTGGGTCTTTGCAATTGCTGGCTGACACTTTTGATTTTTTAAACAACTTTTTTGTTGCGTCATGACCAAATTCGCGGTGTTCTTGGGAGTTGTTTTTGTTTTTTTTGTTTTTTCTGGTAATTCGTTTCTATCCCACAGATGGCGCATGGCTCACATGACATGCACATTGTTTCTTTTTTCCAACGCTCCAACGGGAAGAAGAATGCTTTTCTTTTTAGAGACCAAGCCTTCAACCCGGGGGATTGCTTGCAAGCATGCTTAAGATGGAGAGAGAGAGAGACAGCGAAAGAATATTCATTTGGTTAGGCAAACTATATTTACTGGAGAAGGGGGAAATGGCGTTTTAGGTCAAGGCTTTTTTTTCTCTCCTCCGGAAGAGTAGAAAAGCCAAGGAAAACCTTATTTTTGTTTTGACAGGAGCTTATATTTTTTTCCGTTGGCTTTTTTTTTGCACAACTTTTGGGCAGATTGGAATAAATCACATATCCATCTGATTTGTTTGCATAAGTTTTGTATTCGTCAGGATCCTGGTAAACATGTACTACTTACGTATCCACGTGTGCCCCCCCCCCCCCTATGTATATCCTTATTTCCTATATTATAGTTACCAATTATTGATTGTTATTGTTTATAAATTATAGGAGGGGCAAGTAATACCCTCCCCCCTTCTCACGTCATCTCTCTTCTTTGCTCTCAAGTCACACATGCTCCCCCCCCCGCCCCCCTGATTATTTTCCCCGA